GGGGGAAACGGGACGGGGACGGAGAAGGAGCCCCTTCCCCTCTTGCCTGGACTCATCTACAAGTCTCGTAGTTCTGTGGTTTAGGCCATTTCTCACTAACGTTGCAGCTTCATCAAGTGCTTTCTGGACTCAGTCTTATTTTGTAATTGTTCGTATATATTTATTGTTTGAAGCTTTTGCTTTGTTTCTTTGCAGCTATAAGGGATGGAAAAAAGGTTGTAGCACTGATACTGTCCACAAGGAGTAGAGAGCAGGGAGAGGTTTTTAATATTCGAATTTGGTAACATTTGTAACATTTAGAGGGGTAGACTAAGGGGGGATTCTCTTATCACTAACGTTTTTCTTATTTTTTGCTTCTTGGTGTCGAGTGAGGTGTTCAGAACAAACCTTTGCTGTTCCTTTTCTTGTTTTAAAGCCAACAGTTCAATAAATACATCTGAAAAAAACTTACTGTATGTGAGCACCCTCTTTATTTGGTACATGCAGTGCTGAAAGTTAGTATTTTCTCTGTGGTGCTTTGAAAGCAGATACGACGCTATGGAAAGTAGACTGTCAGAAGATATTAAAGGAATTGAAAAAGAAATAGAAATTGAATTAAGCAGAATGAGTGTTTCGTCCTTTGAAGCAGATGATCCTGACACAAAGGTATCAGATGAAGCTTTGAGTGACAGTGAGACAGTAAGTATTCAGTGGGATAAAAATTCTTCTATTTCAGCTTGAAAGTAGTACGGGCATTGGAAAGCCTATCTGCTGAATGAACTTTTTCATGACATACCTAACCTGAGGATTTATTCTTGAAAAGTAGTCTCAGTAGTATTGCTTCATGAAAAATATAAGCTCCAGTGGTGACAAGACAATAAAAGAGGTGGATATCAGCATTCAGCTTAAGTGAGAAAATCAGACTTGTAGATAATGATTTGTTTTAGAATCCTCTGAAGCTGGAAGATTTTATTAAAGCCAATGAGGTCGATTAAATCTGGATGAATAAGCCAATGATTCTTCATCTAGATTTAAGTCTTACAAAAGATTGTATTACGTTTGAAGACTTACTGATATTAAGTTCATACAAATTGGTGCTTCAAGTCCTCTTTTTTTAATTACTTCTTATTTTGGGGAAAGGTTTTCCTCTGAAATCCAATCAGTGATTTGGGTTCTTTGCAGTAATTTTAATACTTCAGACTTGTAGCAAAAGGATTGGTCTATAGGATATTAAGGTAGATGATATTGGTTATTTGTGTCCATAAATCATACGTTTGATATTGTTACTGATTTTATTATCAACTGAAATTAAATTGTGTTTGATTTTAATATAAGTATAGAATTAAGAGATATTTTAGTAAAAATCATTTTACATTTACTGTATTTTGAATCTAGCAACCGACTGCTACTCTAAAATTCCCTGTACAGCCCTGTACCAAGGCCAAATGGATTGGTCATAATTGTTTAGTAGGAACAGTTAGAACCTAGGTAACAAAACACGAGGTGATTTGTAAATTGATTTATAATACATGTATAGGACTAGAAGAATGCAAGTAGTTGTCAAGGTCCAGTATTAATGGGAACTGAGGTCAGCAACCGTAACAGCTTGCAAGTACCTGCCAAGAGAACTATGTCCTTAAGCAAAAGGTAATTCCGGCAGGGGGAGATCACGACCACCGACTCATGGACCACCTACTCACATTACACCCCAGACCCCTTTCTAGACATTTCTAACCTTTACTGTGCAGAATCAGAAATACGAGGAGAATATGTTAATGATTTCTTGGAAGTTGTATGTTTATGTATGAATACTTACTGAGTATGTATGAGTTAAGTTCTATATAAGGTGTATGATTCTGGTGCCTGGCACGTGTTGTTGGTGAGAGCACTCCCCTACACGTCCGGCCGTCAATAAAGAAGTGTCTGCTTATCTGCATCAAACTGGTGTCAATAAGTTATTTTTATCCTGGATTTTGGTGACAATATGACACAGAGATAGGCAAAGGCATCAGTGATAATTGCATGACAGTGATAATATGCATCCTGGCTTGTATCAGACATAGTGTGGCCAGCAGAACTAGGGCAGGGAAGTGATCGTTGCCCTGTATTTGGCACTTGTGAGCCTGCATCTTGAACACGGTGTTCAGTTTTGGGCTTCACACTGCAAGAAAGACATTGAGGTGGTGGAATATGTCCAGAGAAGGGCAATGAAACTGCTGACAGATCTAGAGAGCAAGTCTTATGAGGAGCAGCTGTGTTTAGCCTGGAGAAAAGGAAGCTCAGGGAGACCTCATTGTTCTCTACACCTATCTGAAAGGAGGTTGTAGTGAGGTGAGTCAGTCTCTTTTCCCAAGTAACAAATGATAGGACAAGAGGAAATGGCCTCGAACTGCACCAGGGGAGGTTTAGATTGGGTATTAGGAAAAATTTCTTGACTGAAAGGCTGTCAGGCACTGGAACAGGCTGCTCAGGGAAGTGGTTGAGCTATCATGCCTGGAGGTATTTAAAAGATGTGTAGATATGGCACTTAGGGACATCGTTTAGCAGTGAGCTTGACAGTATTACATTAACAGTTGGACTTGATCTTAAAGGTCTTTTCCAACCTAAACGATTCTATGATCCTATGATTTATGCACTCCCATGCTGAATGCTAGCAATGTTTACTGGAATTTACACATCTGAGAGAAGGCAGTCTATTTTCCCAGATCCTTACAGTCTTTTAATTAGAAAGTATCTATGTAGTAAAGAAAGTTGAAGAGTCTGATTTACATGCATAAGCATTAGTAAATTTGTAAATTTAAAATTAATTTACATTTTAAAGAGTCTGAACATTTTTTAAGAAAAATATCCTGTGCATTATAGGTATTTTGTTAGTTTTTGTCTTAACCTTTTCCTTAATTTCTTGGTCCACAGAACTATAAAGAAAATGTTAATTGAAACATGTTTCTGAAGATAGTGAACTATAAGTTACTAAAATGTGTTCCAATCAAAATTTAATTAGAAAGTAATTAAAAATCAGAATTATTAATTGTCCAGTGAGTAATAAGATGATGGGAAGATGTAGGAATTGGGAACAATTTTGGTAGCAATTGCTACTAATTCTCCATAAGTGCTTTATAGATAAAGCCAAAATGTGTCTTTATTCTTGCATGCCAAGTATTTACCTCTGCTCGTGGCTGTGAGATGAAAATGTAAAATTTATGTCAAACATCATGTTTTTCTAGATTTCAGATGACTTGCCAGAATCAGTTCTCTCCTATTTAAACTTTATAAAGAGCAGAAATCAAGATGCTGAAAAGCTTATACTGCAAGACTTAGAAGATGAAGAAACTACAAGTAAGCAGTGATCACAGTTAAAATATTTATGCACCTCGCACTGCCAGTGGAAGACTAACAATCATCAGTAAAACAATGCAAACTTTTAAGTAGAGCAAGCAGTGGAACCTATTGCATCAGCTTCTGAATGCATGCTAAAAAGCTCTGGGAATAAAACCATACAGTGCTGTCTTCTAGGATTAACATCTGAGTGTGAATTGAATTTTTCTAAAAATTCATCTGATGCTAAACCATAGATTAAGGCAAGTTGCAGGATCATTGTCTGAAGCAAGACCTGGGGCAGACTCTTCACAAGAATCTATAATGAAGTCACTAGGAGCTGATACAAACAATCAGCTCTAAAACAATTCAGATACAGTTGAACCCTGTAGGCTATGTTTAAAGTCTGTCTTTAGAGATATCCAAGCCAGCATTAAATGAAATGACCTTGTAATTAGGAACAATATTGCTGTGTCAGCTGTATGACTGAAGCCAAGCTCAGAGTTTTTTGCCAGAGCATTGGCATTGTCTGTTCTGTTATAGTTTTTCACATCATCCTGGATTTCACACTCATTTACTGTAACAGTCTTTGTAAACAAAAGTTCAATATTATCTATACATTTTGATATTTGAGGAAGGTTTCTTTTTTTTTTTTTTTTTTCTGCTGGACTTTTCTACACAGGAAAAGTTCTGCTGTGTTCTATGCTATGGAATTCTCTTTCATATTTTTTATCACCGGATTCTTATGATATCAATTTGTGTGTTCCAGTTACACATATTTGCTGCTTTTAATGTAGATAAATGACTTTCATATATTTCATTAAAATTGGGAGTGGAGGATAAAAGTCTTAAAGGGAATAAATTCTTTAGTTTAAAGAAATTTAGTAGCTAAGCAGTATAGAACAGAACTGAGTACTGGTAATGGATTTTCTCTTGTACAACATTATATATTTATTTCTTCTTTAGGTAACACTTACGGGGTAGTTTCTTGCCACGCTTCAGATTACTTGGCAGAATTGGCTTCTGAATATAATGAAGATCCAGAACAATTTAAAAAAAGGGTATTCTCTATTGAAACAATATGTATAGTGAACAAAATTCTATTAAGTATTCTATATAATATACATGTGCTTTGTTGACCTCCTAAGGAGACCTGTAGATGTGTTCCGTTTTGTTTCTGTCAGACTATAAGGTTTTGATGAGTTTGTATATGCCATTCTTTAAAACTCGGACATCAGCTGTAATACACCATGTCTATAAGATTTAAAATTTGGAATAAATTCTCTGTATCAGTAGCTGAGGTGCTGAGCACAAAAATCAACAAAATTAAAAAACCCTGAATAATCCTTTACTGTTAGTTATTTGCAGAATATTATCTCAATAGTATGATAACACTTAAACATCTCTAATGTTACTCTTTTTACAATGATCAGGAGGATGTGCTACTATTAATCTTGCTCCTAATATATTCCATGATTTTATAGAAAATGTAGACATAATCATGTCTGTAACTTTCAAAGATGAATCAGGAGTTATGAGCCTGGGTTCTTTTATATTTTCAAAGGATTTGATTGAATAACTTACTGAAGTTCTTAGAAAGACATAAACCTGTATTTAATTTAATTACTTTTAATTTATCACCTAGATTTTATTAGTGAGCACTTCTCCAAACATGATTTTTTGTTCTCAGCCCATTTACTTTTATGTGACTTCAGCTATATCACAAATATTAATATATGGCCCAAGAATGTGATGAATGGATGATAAATAAGCAGGAATAGATTACTTCTTGCCTATAAAGAACAATGAAAGAAATACAGCAGTCTTTGTGCCCATAGCACTATTTTCAAATAGACTTCTTAAAAATTTACTCTGTAACTAGTTCTTCCCCTATGTGCATAACAGTATTAATGCATAAATATAGTGCTCAGTTCCACAGAAAGTAAAACAAATCCCAAATGCAAACCATTATTTTTTCCAAATCAAATATATTAAAGTAAATATACTTTTAAAACCACATAGAAATATTATATATTTTGGGAAATACTCCAATATCTATTACTCTAGAAAACAGTATTTTGACTGATTTGTTTGCATTATTCAAAGTCTGAGGATTCTAGTCATTGGTATGTTTCATATTATTGTACTTGTCATATGATGAAAGGCTTATCCTTGTTCTGGAAGATTTTTGTAATGTTCTGCTTTTAGATTCTGTTTCTTGTTTCTTAATGACAGTATTAAACTATATTAGGTACCATTTGAAATTGAAAATGAAGACTTGCAGATTGCTCCAACACCTAGTCGGTCCACCGGTGATGAAGTAGTCACTGATGACCATTCTGTTACAGGTAAGCAAATGTATTAGTTTGGTTAAATCGATCTTTAGCATCATATCACTATTTTCTGCTTGTCTGTCTTCATGAGTATCATAAAGTTCTGTATAAAAAATTACAATACGCAGTAAATTTTGATACTTCATGAATTGTACATGATCAAATGCTCATTTCAGGATCTCAAAATTATCCTAGTCTTTAATGTCTTGATAGAAATTTGTTTCAAAAAATACTACCCAAAAATTATTTAATTATGAACACAAATGGAAGCCAGATTAGAGACACTAAGCAGGTTGTGCTTTGGCCACAACTTAGCTGGGAACATACCCCTTCACCATGGCCTTTGCGTGTTTTGGGATGGAGTGCATCAGTTATAAAACGCCTGCTGACAGCCACAGAAGACACTCATCCTAAAGCCAAAATGTAAACCTGAAATATACAGTGGTAGAATTAGCATGACTGTAGCAGAGTCGGTAAGCATGTGTCCTGATATCTCTGATAAGAAAGACTTGTGTTGTAGTTTTGATTTTCTTGGGGATATATATTGCTAGCTGTTTCAGCACAGAATCCTTTTCTTGTCAATACTTTAAGACTGTTTATTGTCCTCCAATACTTAATAGGAAATTAAATAAAAGGTTTGCTTGGTTGATTACAAATTCATAGCTGAAGTTGAAATGAGCATAAGCCTTACTCATCATGAAGTAGAAGAAAAGTGTAGACAAGAATTTGAACAGTGGGAGAAGAGACAAAAGGAGCTTGAAGATGAGAAGAGGAAAAAGTGGAAAGCTGAAAGGGAATTGCAGGAAAAACAGAATAAAGAGGATCACGCAAGAGGGGTTCAGCATCTGGAAGAATTTGAAGCTGAAAGAATAAAGTTAGAGCTTCTTCATAAGGTAAATAACAATACTGAAACCAATCTGTTCCCATCTAGACTATCCAGATTAAAAATTTAGTGTGAAATGAGTGTTTTCCTAAACTGTATGATTGTCCTAACCTCCGTCTACTTGTGATTCCACAATGCGATGTAAGACATATTTAAGTACGATCTATTGGGTTTTATGTGTTTACTGCTTTGATCAACAGTGAATTAATTTGCCATGCTAAATGTTAAATTATTCTTTAGGTTTTGCCCTTACTAAGGTTTTATATTATGACACCGGCTAAAGTACCAGAAATGAGAGTTGTGCTAAATTACTCACAATTAAAAAATGGTCACTGTGCCTTAATAGAAAATGCTTACTTACTTTGGACCTCCCAACTCAGTGTCACATTTAGATGAAAAATCATAGGTGAAGTAATCTGAACCAAAATCATTCAGTTCAAAACTGCTGGTGCTGTTCTTCATCTAGGTAAAAGTTACAGTATTCCTTTTCTCGTCTGTATCTGGGAAACTGAGTGAAGCTTTGTCTACTGAGATCTGCCACAACAGAACATGACTCCACATGTGGACTTGTTGCATTCTCGGAGTATCTAGTTATGTTTTGCTATAACACATGGTTCATACTGAAGGATAAAATTTGATAGCTCTCTACAAAAGAGCATAAGAATGAGAAGTGTAACCCTCAGACATATATGTGGGGCCAGAATATTTTATTATTTACCCTAGATATTTATGTTTTGAGAGATGCATTAACACTGCACTTTCAGTGAATTGATTTGTAGCGTTCTGAAGAGGTGGGCATCTTGGTCTCACAAGGTAATTCAAGTCACTAAAATTAAGGGAGGGCTTTGTATGTGAAAAAGACCTTTGATCTCTGAAGAACAGTAAAATGTCTGATATAGCTCCCTTTTCAACAGGCCACAAAACTTATTATGCTTCCTCTGCTCTTTGATGTCACAAATCATTTTTGGACCTAGAATGGCTTGCTTTCTCTATAGACAAGGAGGGGTATGTCCCCATTTAGACACTTTGGTAGTGCTGTTGCTAGAGCGCTCTTTTTGGAGGTGAGAGATGGAGACTAACTTCCCCCATTACAGAAGGATCTAGATGTCAGCCTCCTATTGTCTGAATGGCATGCTTCTGAACATACATGAAAAACAGTGCTTAGGCACCTGGCAGACGTTGTGCTCTGAGTTGGAAGTGCTAGTTTGGTTATACTGGTTCCTCCATATCTTGCTGTATATTTGATTTGGCTGATACTGATTTATCTTGGTTCCACCAGAAGTTATGTGGTTCTGGGTCTGCCTCTGGTTTTCAGGTACTTACTGTCTGCTAGTTTTCAGTCAGAAGTAACTCCAGATCATTTGGATTATTTTTTTTTTTCTGATTGAGAATATGTTGGGCAAGGAGGGAAATGCTGTTTATTTGCAAATAGTGAGAAAATAGTTTAAAGATGTTTAACATCTTTATTGATGATCTAGACGAAGGGATCGAGTGCACCCTCAGTAAGTTTGCAGACGACATCAAGTTGGGTGGGAGTGTTGATCTGCTCGAGGGTAGGGAGGCTCTGCAGAGAGACCTGGACAGGCTGGAGCCATGGGCTGAGGCCAACTGGAGGAGTTTCAATAAGGCCAAATGCCGGGGGCTGCCCTTGGGCCACAACAACCCCCAGCAGCACTACAGGCTTGGGGAGGAGTGGCTGGAGAGCTGCCAGTCAGAGAGGGACCTGGGGGGGTTGATTGACAGCCAGCTGCACAGGAGCCAGCAGTATGCTCAGGTGGCCAAGAAGGCCAATGGCATCTTGGCTCTTGTCAGCGATAGCATGGCCAGCAGGGACAGGGAAGGGATCTTACTCCTGTAGTCGGCACTGGTGAGGCTGCCCCTTGATTCCTGTGTTCAGTTTTGGGCCCCTCACTACAAAAAGGACATTGAATGACTCGAGCGTGTCCAGAGAAGGGCAACGAAGCTGGTGCAGGGTCTGGAGCACAGGTCATACGGGGAGCGGCTGAGGGAACTGGGGGTGTTTGGTCTGGAGAAGAGGAGGCTGAGGGGAAACCTCATCGCCTTCTACAGCTACCTGAAAGGATGTTGCAGAGAGCTGGGGATGAGCCTCTTTAACCTAGTAGTAAGCGACAGGAAAAGAAGTAATGGCCTCAAGTTGCACCAGGGAAAGTTTAGACTAGATGTCAGGAAGTATTTCTTTACAGAATGGGTTGTTAGGTATTGGAATGGGCTGCCCAGGGAGGTGGTGGTGTCCCCATCCCTGGAGGTGTTTAAGAGTTGGGTCGACATAGCGCTGAGGGATATGGTGTAGTTGGGAACTATCAATGTTAGGTTAACGGTTGGACTAGATGATCTTCAAGGTATTTTCCAACCTAGTTGAAAAACCTGTTCTGTTCCAATCTAGTTCCAACCTATTTTGTGAAATAGACTTGAACTTTTATTTTCCATTGAGAAGCAATTTCAGTAAAAAGAAAAAAAAATCTTTAGCTTTACTGAACAAAATTCCTGTTTGAAAGATTTTAAGATTGTCAATAACATAGATGTGCAATTAAAGGGGACTGTTCATGCCATTTTCAGAGTGTTTGTTTTTGTTATGTTTCTATTACCAACCTGGACTTTGAATGGTTGTTTCATAAACATAGTTTTCATCTTCAGTAGTAGTAAAGAATTTGGAGAGGAAGGTGATAGTTCTTTTGGTCAGTACCAAGATGCTGACCATCTGAAGGTATGCATCTTTCAGTACCTGACCAAATACACATTACCGATGCAAGCATCTGATTGCTTATTCTGATCCTTGCACAACTGAATTTCTCATTTTGATTCAGTCATTTGCGAAAGTGGACCATTGGAAAGTTGAGAAGATGAGGGAGATAATAGAGAGAGGGTGTTTTGTGATGTTTCAGGTTTTGTACAATATTCATTTATGTTAATTTGTTGTGCAGAAACACCAAACTGCAATAGAAGATGAGTTACAGAAAGAAAAGGATGCCTGGAGAGACAAAATGATGCAACATGAGGTAAGGTTGTACAATGAACTTTTGTCAAAAGACTGTGAGGTTACTATCATATATTTTGAGAATGAATGTTATTTTGGACCAGTTAATACACCAGATTCTGTTTATTAATGATAAATATGTGCCAACACCTGTCCTATTTTCAAAGTGGTTGAAGTCTGTCCTAATTGTTTTGGCCTAGGGAATGATCATGAAACTACAGCTGCAAATGAAAGAGGAGAAAAAGGCCTTGAAAAAGCAGAAAACAAAAGAAAGTCAACACCTGGCAGAACAGCAGCATACAGCTGCTGTGAAAATCCAAGCTAGATTTAGATCATTTTTGGTCCATAAAAAATATGCTTCTATTTTAAAAGAATGGAAAGACAAAATAAAAAAGAAACAGAAAATACTAAAAGAAACAGAGAGAGAAATGAAAAAAAGAGAGGAAAAAATGAAGAGGCAAATGGAAGAAAATAGGCAAAAGAAAGAAGAAGGAAAAAAGAGACAAGAAGTTGAAAGACAGGAACATTTGGAACAGGTGAGGAAGTATGAGGAATATAAGAAAAAGAAAGCAAGCCTGAGACTTGATAGAGAAAAAGAGCTACAAATAAGAAGAGAAGAACAAAGAAAACTAGGAGAAATAAAAGCAAAAGCTGTGGTGACTGAAAGTGGAGAAAACAACAAAGAAAACATGCAACAGGATAAGCAGATAAAAAATACGAAAGTTATACGAGAACAGAAGAAGAAACTAAGTAAGCAAGTAGAGGAACAAAAAGAAAATGAGACTGAAATGATGAATGAAACAAATAATTGGTTGATTCCAGCAGAAAGAAATTTGACACCAACAGCAAATATGCTAGGCTCTGAGAAAGAAAACTCTTCTCATGTAAATAATGAGAACATATACATGAATTCAGTAACACGTGTAGAAGAAAATGACTCACAAGCTAGAGATCTTAATAAAGCTCCAAACAGCCATACTTCAGAGGATAAATCTATTAATTTTGGAGCCACTGACATGGTAGAAAGTAAGACAAATAATATATGCAGCAGTCCACCAAATGTCCAGCCAAATGCTAGTCACAGAGAAATCAAAGATCGATTTTCGCAGTCTGAAAGAATGAACAAAACTGTGTTTCTAACAGAAGATGCTAATGAGGAAGTCGGAAAAACCTGGGAAAGAATTCAAGATATAGCTGAGTGTTCCAGTAGACTAATTGTTCCTGATGATATTGAAAAGAAGAGAATAAACTGGATGAACACATGTAAATCTTGGTCTAAAATATATGAAGAAAACCAAAGAAAGCAAGCAACTACAAAAAAACGACCAAAGAAGAGTTCAATTGGCAAGATGCCTCCATTAAGTACACAAAAGATAATTCATAGTGGCCCCTGGAGTACTGTGCAGCAGGTAACTGTACAGAAGATTTAGAATGAATTGGGAAGCCATACCATCACCTTCCCTTCCCTTCCCTTCCCCTCCCCTCCCCTCTTTGCCTTTCTCTGAGAGCCCACATTTCAGTTCCTGCTCATCTGGCCCCTTCAGAATTTTGACATTAGTCTCTTCCAGAAGACATTGCTGATCAGCTTCTAGATGGTGTTTTGTCATAAAGAACATCTCTTAGTTCCCAGCACTTACTTTTCTTACCACTTACTAACCTATCGCTGTATGCTTTGTGCTCTCAACTTGTTATCCACTCTCAGATGACATACTGGACTACATACCCTTTTAGTCTGAACTATTTTCATCTGTTTTTGAACACTCACTCATTATTTATGATAGTGTGATGGGAAACAATTCACACTATTAGTTGCTTTGCTTAGTGTTAATCTTCCATTCAAATTCAATGTAATTAGCAAAGTATTGGTTTTATTTATTTTAAGGTGTATGTTAAAATCAAACATAGTTTTCATAATAACTTCTCCCATTTAACGGATCAAAGCCATCATTGCCATCCTTTTCCATATGAAAGGATTAACATTACTTGCTTGCATTTTCTAAAGTGTTAACAGAATGTAATTTTCAACTCTTTTTCATTTTAAAGAAAATAACTGTAATGTGACATTGTACAATGAATGTTCAATATACAAGCAATTAATTTTATATATCAATAAATGCATGTAGGTCACAACACTTACACTAGAAGATTTGCCAGCTTTTAGCCTCTCAACATTATCTGAGTGTTCAAACCTTCAAGTTTTGACTCTGAGACGCTGTGGACTAGTTGCACTGGAAGGACTAAGTAGATGCAAAGACCTAAAGTATATCAATGTGGAGGTACGAAGTATATTTGATTCTTTGTTATAACTCAGGGAGAACTGCCAGTTTTGCTGCTTAGGTGGTTATGCTTAATATCTAACTTTTATGTAACTGAATTTATAACATTTAGTGTCTTAAGAGCATAGGAACATTATTAAAATACTCCCAAATGTGAGCAAAGTTGCATTGCATACAACACTTAGCATTAGTACTAAAACAACATCCTGCAAATGAATCAAGCTATACCAAGAGAAGTCCATGATAGTATCAGTCTAGGATTAGCGTTAGTATGGCCCAGTGATTGACCCTTGTTACTTCAGTCTCTCTGATTCATGAGTGGGCAGATGCTGTTCACCACAGCAGGTGCTCAGCTTAATCAGGAGTAGGTAGAAGGAAGAGTCCCTTGCAGTACACACCTTGAATGTCAGTTTAAATTACTCGCATGTATGCTAAAGAACAGTATAGTGAATTACACTAGAGGCATAATGTCTAGGTTCTTGCTACTGCATGGTGTCTTACATGGCCTTGTAAACTGAATGACTAAAGAAAACGTTTTGCTTTGTGATGCATCTTAGTTCCAGAACTTCACAATTTACATGAAACAACTCTTCACATTTTTTTATTTCATGTATTTTAACACCACCAATTCACAAGAAAGTTCTTTGCTTTAACTTACTGCTGCAACTGAAGGGAATGTCCAAGGGCAGGAATCAGTGTTACAGCTTCCAAAGGAAACCTGTACACATCTCTGCCTGAAGCTGAAGGTAGAACCTAAATCTAGTCAGTGTGTTAATTCAGGAATAGGAATTAGACTCTTCGGCATAATTGGTTTGTTACAAAGGCAGGTAATTTAAGTTTTGTTTGAGCATCTGCAGATGAAAACAAGAAGAAAATATCATAAAATCTGAGGAAGCATTATTAAAATGCTCTTGGGAGGGGAATGGTAAAAGAGCAAGATCTCTTGGGGTAAGAACAGCTGAGAACAGTGTTAATGTTTGTGACCAAAATACCTCTAAATGCAGATTTTCACTGTTAGTACATGGGATTCGAGCAAAGTCATAGCTATCTTCATTAGTGTCTAGTAAATGTGATGGTTTCTGTGCAGTTTTTTAGTTCGGTCGCATAGGATTTGGGAAGCTAGGAAAACATATATGGAAACGACCACTATGTCCTTAACTTCTCCTTACACTTTTTGTTTCAACTTCTGGACATTTTCAGAGCCAGAATGAAGTTCGAGATATACTTTTGTTCTATCCCAGCAGAACACAAAAGGCAGTTTCTATGACTGAACGTTTTCCTAATGGAAAAAATAGAGATGTACTTACTCCTAGGTAGAAGTTTAGGATAAAAATAAGCAACGATGACAATTTACCTTATTTTTACACTTAATTCTGCTACCTTACTTCTGATGCTATTTAATATTCATATTTTCCTTTATTGCAGGAAAACAATATTCAGATAATTGACTGTGAAAATCTAGAAAATCTCTGTATTCTGATTCTGAATAAGAACCATCTTTCATCAGTTTGTGGCTTAGATGGCTGCATAAATCTCCAAAATCTTGAACTTTCCTACAACAGAATCACTCGAATTGGTAAGAAATTAGTGAAAAAATATTCCAATTTGTGTAACAATATTTGTTCTGTTTATATTCAGCATTATGCTTCCCCTGGATTCAGGGCCACCTAGCTGCTAAGCCCAAGGAAAATGAGGAAACAGACTTAGAACAGACCTGCATTTTAAAGTATACTCAACTTCACATTTATTTGTAGTATGGCTTGGCTACTGCCATGTATTCCATCTACCAGGTCATACAACTATTGTCAGCCAAAGAGAACCAAAAATCTTTCTAGAAGAGCCCCTAATATTACCTGCACTGTTCAGTTGGGATATGTGAGTAGCCTGAGTTCAGTTTACCTACAGAAACAATTAATGTAAAGCCTAGCCTTGCAACTGCAGAGAATTCCAGTGTGTTCCTGACTGACACAGTAGGTAGTTATATAGAAAGCACATTATCTGTGTGAGTCTGTGAAGCATGCTAACACTGGACCACAGCCTTTCTTTCTACTAAAATGCTGCCCATTCTGGCTCCAAACTATTGTTCTGTATTTTCCTCCCACTCTGGCTCTTCATTGTGGCTCATTGTCCCAAAGCTGGAAAAAATGGTAAGTTTAAGGTAGAATCATGCAAATCATTTAAAGCACAGCAGGTGTGCCAACCCTGATTATATTTACAAAAGCAGTTTGTTATATTCGTTAGGTCTAACAGTTGGCAGGCAACAGATGTACCTTTAGCATGCAGTCAACCAGTTAGAATTTACATACACCTAGACCACTCAACAGATGCATGAATACATGAAATCTTTCTTACAATCTTTCTGTTGGCTGTTTTCTGTTGACCAGCCAGGAATTTTTCATGTAGTGAACAAATGTTTGCCTCTCTGCTTGTACTGCTACTCGAACTGTAAAGTGCCTAAAGGGTAGATAATGTGTCTCAACTTCTGGCAAGCAAAAAATATTGCATTGTGAGCCTTGTGTTAATGTAGATTTAGTATAGATGGAATCAGGATCCAGAGCCTTTTCTACTGACAAAAGGTCAGGAAAGTGTAATTCAGTGAAAATAACCAGAGGCTTTGCTGTATGTAAGTGGAGAAGCCTTTTTTTATGTTTTTAGAATGATGTACGGAAAGAAGACCATTAGTGGTCCCTCAAAAGCAACATTAAGAGTTGAGAAAAGGTCATACTAAAATACCAGATCATTACTTGAAAGGGACCTCTCAAGGCTTGAAAGTAGCAAATTTCCTTCAAGAAGGCTTCACAGCAGATAGAACAGAACTAGTTCTAACAGCCTCCGTATACTCTAAGGACTTGAGTCTTGGTGCATGACGTACTGTGAAATTCATAAAGGCCACCAAAATATGGGTGTCTATAGAACTTCAGTATTATAGTCTTAACTGAGATGAATCTTCAGAGATTTGTCCATTGAAATAAAATCTTATGGTCAAGGAAAAAATTGCATGTGATGCACCAATTAATTTTGTATAAATTAAAACATGAAACCTGAAAAGGTGACTTTCTTAGTCTGTGCTAAATTTAAAGATGTTACTTTGAAAGACTGCAGAGCTGGGAATGGAAAAGAGATAAGGAGATTTTGATTTTGAATTGATTTGCCTTGATATAGACTTTGCTTTAAAGTATGTGGACATACTATATTTTAGCTGATAGATGAAAAACATTCACATAAGGCATTTATATAAAGAAATGTTTTCCACCTTTAAAAAAAGAAGGGAGACTGAAACAGTAAACATGGACAATGCAATTCCATAACAAGGACATAGCAAACAGGAAATGGGAAAGCTTAAAAACCCATCTATTTAGAGGGTTTAATGTTGTGTTTAGAGGGTTTAAATATTTTTAATATTTTTTGCTAATATGTGAAAATTTGGAATGTTGATATTTATGAACAGTTTATAATACCTGAGAATAAAGTTGCTGGAATATCAATGTTTACTGTAAAAACATATCAGTACCCTAATGAGAAACAATAAAATAAACTTGTTAAAGATACTTCACCTTTATCCTTGTGGCTGATAATGCTGGATCAGATTCTTACTCAGTTTTATCTCATTTGATAAAAATGTCTGCAAGATTACTGTAAGAATGACATTAATATTAGTGGATGATGTCTAGGAATGTGGCATCTGTGTGGAATGTAGTATCTTTGTACAGGCCAAGTGGAGTAAAATCCTCTTGCACTTTCTGTTTTGTGGAGTGTGCTGATATGTTTACCAAATCTCTAATGAATATGAGTGGATAAATAAATGTTCACAAAACCAAACTTGGAATCTGGCTTTCTCCACTCCAGAATTGCTTTGAGGGTGTCTAGTTAAAACAGATACATATTACAGGATTTATTTAATACAATAACCTGTTGGTTGTAAGTAGTTGCATAGAATACACAAAAATGGATTTATGACTTTTAAGAAGTTAATGTATCCCTCCCATCTGTAAATGTTGCAGAATGTACCTTAGCAATTTTGGAAGCTACACTACTGTGCAACGTTCTCTATTCATTCAGCTTTAACAAAGGCTATAGGCTTTTTCCTAAGAAGTACAGCTTATTTATGTGTGCAATACTTCTGTTTTAATAACGTATTGTAGGAAACGTCAAGCATACTATGTTGTTTTTTTTTCTTCTCTCATTGAAATATAGCATCAGTGGGGAAAAATTAGAGTTGCCAGAAACCCCTTAAAAATAACAGTAGAAGTATGAGAAATATATCTTCAGTTATGCTTTTCCACTTAAGAATGCATGAACACAAATAAAGTAATTGTGTCAGTAATACATTGAAGCTCAGTGCATATGTTTGTCTTTGGAAGATGAATGCTTTACTTAAAAATTTTCTTATACAAAAAGTAGCATTTTGACTTGAGTCATAGAATACACCTTCGTAGGGTGTCTATACTGCCATAGTATGTTGGCTAAAATCCTGGCAGTGCTAAGAATAGCAGTGCACAACCGTGGATAGTCCTAAGTTCTTCTTTGGACCTACTATTTTTCAGAAAACACATAGAGGGTTTTTTTTAATCAGATACCTTTCAGGTTTTTTGGGTATGTGTTTTTTTCATCTTCATATTCACTGTCAGCTTTCACTCCTCTTACCGTTCATCTTTGTCACACATAGGAGTTACTTCAGAACTGCATTGATAGCTAAGGTAGAGTCCCTAGCTAACAGACTCCAGCTGCACTTTGCAAAATGTTAAAAGCTACTTATATAAAGCTCCTCCACAAATCTTGCTGAAACCGTATGTTTTTCAAAATAATGCATTTCCCATATACTGTTATAGCTGTTGTTGGTTGCATCATATGTAAAACAGACAACTTCTGGAAATGTGCAGACTCTCATGCTTATTTTTAATTTTACATGTGTGTAGAAGAAACATTAAAATACCATCATTCATTACTCTTGTGTATGTTTCTGTTGGACTGCATTTGACAGTTCCAGAAGAGATTGTAATCCCATTGCATGTAGCCTTGGCATGTCTGTACCAAATGACATTTGGTCTAATTAAACAACACAGATGAGAAGATGTAAAAAAGGTGCTTTGTGCAGCATGCAGAATAGGAAACTTCCAGATCCTGTATTAACTCCTTGCCTTTTCTTACTGTGTGTGTAGTCTCTCCTCACTGTCCCACTCCAGACTAACACAGTGCTTTTGAAGTTTCCAGTACTGCTGATAGCGTAAAAGTGGAGATTTAAGGACTGTTCTTGTGAGGAAGTCTTGGGAGCTGTTAAAATTTTAACACTATCTGAAACGAAATTGTTTTGAGACCACTAGATGGTGCTGGTTCCTTTTTTATTTTATCTAAGGGTAAAATACAGACCAGGATCTTGCAGTCAGGATAGTATGTCATGGGCATGTTTGAAATTCTTTCAGAATAATTAAACGTTTGTATATTTATTTCATAAAGCACAGTTTTGAAGTTACAGTATGGGACATCTGTTTTAGATTTAGGATGGTATCTCTTTAATATCAGGTGATTGTGTTATTTCCACTAGGTGCTTTCCATTTTCAAATTACTATGATTTGAAGGCCTATATTTGATTGGGGTTTTTTTAAATGTACTGCTACTTTTGGGCATTTATTTTTTTACTTATGTTTTCTCCTTACCATTCATTTTCCTTTTAAAATTCCTCTTCTGTATTCTCAATAATCTATGGTACAAACAGTTCTCTGGTCTCATAATCCAGTTTGTTCTCGGAGGACAATCACAAAGACATTCACCTCTGTAAAGCTCGCCCAACTTACTTTTGGGAGCTGGGGAAGTTTTGGGTGACATAAAGATGAGACAAAATATTACCTCAAATAATCCTGTGAAGAATACACAAAAGATAAGAAAATTCAGAAATTCCTTATTTTATATGTTTTGTAAAGGGTGTCCTGTCAAAGGATTTTTACTACACAGATACAGAAAAACTGCTTGGACCTGTAGCAAAGTCAGATTCATCAGTGCAATAGGAGAACATCTGGCATGTGTAAAACCATGAAGAGACAGTGTGATTTTTGCCATCATAAGAGGATGATTTGGGAAAAATTCTGTGAAAGAAACAGATGCTGACAGGAATCTCCTACTTTGCATTTTTTTTGGGGTAGAGATAGCACACATTCTTGCTCTTTACACTAGTTGGCAGGAGTTAGTTTGTTCAGAGTATAACAGCTATAGATATATAGCTTTATACTTAAAGGCACTAAATTTTCTTTATAAATTTCTTCATTAAAAATATTTTATGACGTAATTCTTTAAACAAGATGCTCTTAAATAATACAGATGGTGCTGGCCTAAGTTTTAATACAACTTGTTCTCACCTTGCTGATAACTTAACACCCCTTTCAAAAATGAAATAATTAACTTTTAAACGTAAATAGTGTGTCCATTATGATGGTTGATTTTAAGAGGGCTGTTAACATTTCACAGAGCCCTTAGGTTCTGAGTAGCAGTTATAAAGGATTTAAAGCATAGTAAGTGTAGTTTATCACTAAAAGGATGTTCTGTTTCAACAAAAGTGTTAAAGGGGTTATGAACTGTTACCGTTTGGTTCACAGGATGAGAAATTTGTGAACTGCGCATTTGATAGGGTTAAAATACAGTAATTATTTTAAAAACTTTTTACAGGACTAATATTACTTGTTTACTATAGATAATGTAAATATATTGAAAGGTCAGAGTTTTCTTAGTACTTGAAAACCAACAGGTTTTTATTTCCTTATGGCTTAATTCAGCTAAAATCTTTCATTTTCAGGTGGTCTGGAGTCGTTGAAAAGTCTTCAGCAATTAATTATGGACCATAATCATTTAATCAGCACAAAAGGTCTTAGGGAGGCACCTACTCTTATTCACCTAGACTGCTCTTTTAATCATCTCACACAAGTTGAAGGCATTGAGAATTGTGGCCTACTTCAGATTCTGAAGTTGCAAGGCAATAACCTCCAGGAGGTAAAAACTGAATTCGGTGACTGTTGTGTATACATCTTTGTTAACAGTCATATTTTTCAGAATGCTGATCATGTGCTTTGCTGTGGGGTGTTTCATGCTCTTAGGTAGGCTTTTTTTTTCCCCTTGAAAAATTGGCCTCTAAGTAATTATATTTCCCTTCTTTGTTTATAACATCTAGCCTTAAGTTTGTATTATATGATGTTGATTCTTTGTTTAAAATGTAACAAAATATTATTATCATTATGTACAAGTAATAGTACAGCCTGGTTTGATGTATACTGATCCTTCAAAAGCTGAAGTTTGTGCTGCAGCATTTAAAATAGTACACTTAGTCATATTTACTGATAATGATTCTCATATGAATCTGAGAGAGAAAAAACATTGTCGATAAGCAGCAAATAACTGCATGAATAAAACAGTAAGACTGTGGGTTTTGTGCTCTTGGCTATTTTTTTTTTTAATTTATATTGACTATTCAGACTAGGTAGAAGACTTTAAAAAATACTTACCACCTGATATGTAAAAATTTTGTGTGACAACTGGTACATACATAATAAGGAACTGATACATATATCCAAAATGTGGTTTTTGCTTGTATTTAGTAATGATTTATGAAAAGCATATGGTAAGCATTCCACTGTTGTTTCTCTAATTTATACTAATTTTAAATAAACATCTCTTTTCTATTAGTTTCCGAGACTGGAAAATCATGTTCTCTTAAGAGAATTATATTTGGATGACAATAGCATTTCTGCTGTGAGAATGCTTCCTTTGTATTGGTTGCCTCTATTGCAGATTCTTTTGCTGTGTCAAAATAGGTAAGCAGGAAACATTCTCCCACTTACAAAACTGTTGCAGAGGAATTTACTAACACTTATCTGAAAAGTATCATTCTCAGTATGGTGAAAATATCGCTATCTGTTCCAGATATTCTTTGAAAATATGTGGGTGACAAGAAATGACATTGGCTACCTTTAGCTAAGAAAATTTGAAACAGCATTAAATATGAAAAGTAATTTTTTCTATTAGATGTTATATGAAAATAATTTTTGATCACTGAGCATTATTAAAACCATGGTGTTTCTTTTTTTTCCTTTCTTTAGCAATTGTTTCTAGAGTACATCTGTCAAACTTCATATTTCACAGATAGCTTATTCAAAACAGACTTTGAAGGCTATGTTAAGTGCAACTACTGGAGCTAAAAAGGAGAAATGAGAACGTTTTTTATTTTACATACACATGTTAATGCCCTCCAAAACAAGCATATTTGCTTTAATTTTTCAGTCTTATGGTTCAGTTTGAAAGGTATAAAATAAAAAAGAAGGATCAACAGAAGCAGCATAAAACTAGATCACGCACTCAAGTACTCTGTAATTATTTTTAGTTTTCTAAGATAATCGCTACAACCTGACCAGATATTCAGGAATCAAAATTTTTATTTCCCCACTCCCATCCCCTTTTCTTCCATTTAAATTCTCTTAAAAAAATAAGGAAAAATTATTATAATTTACAATGTGTTAGTAAAATTAATTTTAAATTAATATAAATTATTTTTCTATACTATGACCATTTTGCTCTGAACAAGATTAATCTCAACTAGTCAAATAGAATATTCTCTGTTACACACAATATACAGAACATACCCTCTGAACTAATCACTTGACTCTCCTGTTAGTGGAGATGCTTTTAGCGTGTGATTCATCTGCCATTTTTAGCTTTTTGCTTGAGACTAATCATTCCCTACAAGTGCCTGTTCATCTTCATTGACTATTAACAGAGTCAAAATGACCATTCATATGTAGGTGTCTGCATTTGAACAGATGAATCCCATCCTATGTGACATTTAGTTCAGCAGTCAACTGTAACTGTGAGCCTGTTGGAGAAAAGATCTGTAAGACTGAGTCCTGTTATAATAAGGCATGTCCTTCATGCAAAATTAATATTATTTTAGTATATACAACCTATATTTTTATATAACTTTTCAGATTATTTTTATAGCATCTCTAATGAAATAATATGCATGTTAAACTCTTGGATGTAAGTATAACAACTAGCTATATTTACAGAATCTAATCTTTTAAGTTTCTGGGCTTTTAGACTTTTTTTAGTTCTTTTATTAATTCTTCTGGAGTCTGGAGAAAGTGCTTCCTGCCTGTGATTAAACAGAGAATTATTTTTTGAGTGTTAGACTCTGAATCACATGTATTGATTTAATTCATGTTCTATGCTTTTTGCCCTTTTTTTTTTTTCTCTTGTCCTGTTCAGCTCTTTGTGGAACACAGTAAAGTGGATCTATCTTCTTTTATTTTCCTCCTCTTCTTCTGGTTTGTTTTTCTGTTAACATTAAGATGTAGCTATGGTGTGTGTAATAAAAAAGTCTGCAAAACTGTTTAAAGGTCTCATGTGCTTGTTAGGAAGAGAACAAACAGGAGCACAGTCTCAGACATAGGTTGAATGCAGACTCTGGACCTAGACTGTGCTTGTCTGGCTGTGTAGATGTACCTTATGTCACTTGCATATGCCATGATCTTACAGTTTTTAATGTCTATTATAATGCTTATTCTGGTTTTCTAGTGGCCAAGCTGAGATGCAGTATTTGGTCCACTGAGTTTCTTCTGCTGGACTGGGAGAAAGCACATATTTTTGCATCAGCAAACTGGATGTGCTGAAAATAAACACACATCTCCTCCCCAAACAATTATCTTTCTTTCCTTGATGTATCTATAGCTTATCCAAAGTCTTTGTGACAAACAGGACAAGATAGCCTTAAATGCATATTAAAATCCTCAAAATTCCTGGCATTTCAGTAGCCTACTCTGTTACACTCACATTATGTACACTTATAAGCAGCTCCATATGTGTGTGCCATAGCATAAGTAACTCGATGTTCTATAGAAACAGTGAATGTAATGGAGTAAGCTGTTGAAAGAAAAGCTGTTTCTTTACTTTTATCCTACAGCTAGTGCAATTTTGTGAATTTTTTTCAAGTGTGCACTGAGTGCCATTTCCTTTTCACTGATTGCAGGAAGCCAATATAATGGTAATGCTGTGACTCTGTATTCTTTCTAAAAGTGAAGCACTGTGAAAAGAAAATTCTTACAGTAATTTACAGGATTTTTTTATTCCTGAGATGCTTTGTCTGTATCATAAACCAGAAATTGCCAAAGATAAAACTCCAAAAATTGTTTTAAACCTACAATCTAGCAATGAAGAATTATAAGAGGTAGTGATTAACTCCCTCAAATATAAAAATGGCAGTTATTTCACCACTACTGTTTTTATTAAGTGTTATATTGTGGCTTTCACATACAAAGCATATACTTCGTCAATGTACAGTTCACCAAAGCCAGTGATGAATATCCTCTTGACTTGGTTACTGCTGAACTGGGACTATGAATATCTGTGCTCTATTTTATAGCAGCTGGAGAACACAATTGTTAAGTTAGTTTTAAAAAGGCACATTTTCTCTTTTCTTCTCTTGTGGATAAAGACTTAAGTGTAGGAGAGAAAAGCCCTGCCCCTGGGACTGAAATTAATGCATATTTAATATGTGTTAAGAGTTCATATGGTATTTATATTTACATGCAGTCCCACTTAATTCTGTAGCTTACTTGTCAATGTCTTTTTCATTTAGAAGTTTTACAGTGAGACACTAAATCAATCTGCTATTCAGGTAGACATTACTGTTTCCCTCCCCCCCCACCAACTTCAAAATAGACAAATATATCCCTCTTAAAATTTGCTTTAATATGACATTAATATGCCAAACTTATTTTTCTGCTATCTCTTGTTTTTCGTTAAGATAAACTAAGTGTGATAGATAAAAATTTAATATCTAAAGAATGCAGTCATCTGCAAAAATTCCTTTTTTTGGGGGGAAACTCTTTGGCCAGAATCAAATTCTTTGTGAACGTGTTGCTCCCATGTTTTTGCAACTAGATGCATGCCCTTCCTAAAAGGCTTAAAATAGAAATGCTAAAAAGTCAGCTCAATTTTTTCTTGGTAAATATTGCTCTCCCTGCATAAATATATGTGGTATCTGTGTTTAACCGAATATCTCAGATGTAGGAGTTGAACTCACTGTTGTTGCAAGCCATCATGTTTTGAGAATTTGAGCACTTTTCCAGAGTCTTCATAATAAATCTAAATGTCATTGAATGTTGAAATAAGTCAGTCATGCAAAAGATATACTTATTTATAGTGGTTTCCCCCATCCCATCCTTACCAGTCTAGATTTTTTTGATCACTTTCAATAATTCTTTGCTGATGATAAGTTTATCTCTAAGTGTGTGGCACCATGGGCAATACTGTTGAAGTACTGCCTGATAGAGTAGTCAAGAAACAAGTGGCTGACATTTCCTACATTATATTTAATTATTACTTATAAATACAGTGAATATTTCAAACTAATATATTTTTATTTTTAAAGAATGGAAAAGAAATATGGGCTTTATTTAAAGATCTAGATCAGTATAAATATATTTTTAATTATTATGCCCTCCTTCCTGCTAACCTCTTGTTAACATCAATGATAATTTTTCAGAGGAAAAGCAGATGCATGGCAGGATTTGGACCATCCTGACCAGTGACTTCTGTTTGTGTTTGGAAAAGCAATCTTTATTTTCTCTGATGCATGCTTGCAACTATTCTAGTCTCTTAAATCTATGACTATCTCTGTCCTGTTACATCCTTAAATGGGAGCAGAAAGAGGAAGCTCTAGCTTGCTTTTTTGTGAATATCTTTTACTTTTGTGTCTTCTTTGTAATTTATATCTCTCTTATGCCCAGGGCTAATGTGACAAGGTCAAGTAGTATTAAGTTTTCAGTAATGTCCTTTGTCTTTCTGGTTTGAATTTTCTTAGGAAAAAATTTAACAAAGAATGTCAGTAAAGGGAAAGCTATAGAATGACTGGGAAACTTTTTAACTCTCATAATGCCAACAGCAGACAGGGAGAGTCCAGTAGACCATTTCTAAGTTACCACAGCATATACTGAGAAAGATCCAGAGAACTCACTCAGTATAAATAAGATAATACTGCATTATCTTTTGTCCCTTGTGCAAAATACATTTATTTTCCTGGATATTTCTCAATATGTGAATCTAGAATCTGAATCATGGGTTTTCAGTCTTTACAGCCATACAGTTAGCCACTAATATCTGTGGTGATATTTGCTACAAATATTAAATATATTTGTGTACTGTTGACTGAACCTAACAAGAACCTAAAATGCTGACATGTACTATGTACAGATCTACATATAAGGCTTAATGCTTTTTACAGTTAATACTTCATAATTATTTGATTGCATAAAGACTGGCAGGGAGGTAATAGAACTAAATAGAACTAGAACCAGGACAACTTTACAATATCGTTTGAGAAAGATATAGAAGTATAGCAACACATACTCAATTGGCTTTATATCTGTTTCTCTGAATTATTACATTGTCATGTAGAAATACTTGCCAACTGAATGTAGAAATTATTTTTTTTCTCTTTTGCATATGGTCAAATTTTCAGTAAGATTAAAGAGATTACAGCCAACATTTGATCCAGAATTTGTGTACCAAAGTTAAATCCAGCTCTGACTTTTATTGGTAGTGCCTATGCTGGAAACACATTTCAGCAGCAAATAACCATTTTTGGCTCTGACCAGTTGTAAATTTGTGGAGTGGGTTTTGGTTTTTTGCATGGACTTGTTTCTGACCATAAGAATTATGATTTATAGCTTTCAAAGGCACTATAACCCTCAGAAAATACTGCTTTCCATGAAAATTAGCAGTCACAAAGTGAAACACACATTGCTATTGGTGTTACCATTTTCTCATTATACTTAGGCCTTGTCCTTACAGACATGAAACAAGTTACCTAAACGTGTATTTTTTTAAAAAAATATGTAGTTGATTTAGTATGTGCTTATACATAAACATACTAATTTTTATTAAAGACTGGGGGTTTTTTGTATCTTGATTTTATTTTTTCCTCCCTCTTTCATATTTAAAATAAAACTAAATAAACTTTAATCTGAAAAGTAATACTTGGAAATAGCCTGGCAGCTGACCAAACCATTCAACAGTCTTTCTTACTTGCACTAATGGAAGTTTGTAAGTAAAGAAACTTGAATAACACTAGACAGTAATGTTTTAATAGTAGTGATAATACATGTCTTACAGTCCATAATACAGATGAATGTCAGCTCAGTGTCCTTACATTTACTCTTCAGTATTACAAATAAGAATTTTGTCATGGCTGTGCTATTGCTTCGTTGCTTTGTTGCACAAGAAAAGCTCTGATATGCAGTAAGAACAATTCCATAACTGTCTGTATAATAGGCACCTATTTGTCACTGTCTTACAGAAGTAGAAACAGAGAGGAAGCACTAAAAATATATTGAAGGACAGTGCAGCCTTGACCTGTTAAGAAATACAACTGTGACGATGATTATGTTAGTTTTAGGATCTAGGATGTAATATACTGAGTGGAGAACAGAACCAAGAAGTTTGAGCAATGAGAAATGTATGAAGAAGAAAGAGAAAATGTAGATTTTATTTGTTCTCCAGAATCAGGGTCTTCTGTTAGTTTCATTCTAGTTATGGTGCCTCAAGAAAAGCCAACTGAGTTGTGTAAATTTTTCAAGACTTTAGATCCTCAGCACTAAATGCAAGAAACAGAATGAAATATTTGCCAGATAAAACAAAACATTGATGAGTAAATATTAAAAACTGAGCTACTGAGAAGACTAAGAAATGCTTTCAAGTTAAAATTTCAGTAATTAGTTCTAGCACCTTGGATAGCTAAATGAGTATTTTCTTATGAAAATAAGTAAATTGTCATATCTGTAGAAGATACTGTTGACTTTCTCTTATGAACTGCTGGTTTATTTAGTTGAAAAAAACTTCTTCTCTTTTGTTCTTAGATTAACTGAGCTTGTACCTTTAAATTCATTTGTATCTTTGGAAAAGCTGGATGTCAAAAATAACTGCTTGTCAGGTGGGTTGTATAAAATACATAAAACTGCATTCAAACAAGAACTTTTTAATTAAATTATAAACTTATTTGCATTTGATTGTTCTCATTTATTTACAGGTAACATTTACATAGAAAACATAAATACTTTCTAAGTATGGATGTTACACTGATTATAACTATATAGATAGCAGAATTGCTTGTCGTACTTCATGATTTTGGTACATTTTACTTCCATGTAAGATTTTATGAGAAATAATATGGTTGTGAATTCAAATTTATATTAAATTTTCTTTTCTACTACAATATAGACCTTAAAGGTGTCATTACATGGTTAAGTGGCTGTCATAAACTAAGGGAGTTGTCACTCAGTGGAAATCCTCTTGTCCAAGAAAGGAATTGGAGGTAAGAAAATGAATTAATTTGCTAAATCAAAAAAATCAAAATCAGCCAAAACCTGGGTGTATATGCATCTTGCTCATCAATCAAAATCAGCCAGAAGACTTGGTGTATGTATGGTAGTTAAACAATAGAAATGAGGTATGAATGCTACCAAAAACTGGAAGATAATTTTATGAAAATAACAAATAAAATTCAATTCTGTGATCTTTATTTTTGAGGAATTCCAGTTTGTAGTTTTGTTTAAAGAAAAATCTTGATGCTTGACTAGAACCTTAATAAGAAGCAGTTTGTACTAAAACTCAACAGTGGTCTCTCTAAGTTGTATAACTGTTACCCCAAATAAGCATTTTTCTTTGTGATAATTTCTTTAGGCAAATACAAAATTTATAAAGATTATATAGGCCTTCTTTTGCTGTTTATTTGTAACTGCTTCCTTGCCCACTGATCACAAGATCTTTTTTGGCATGAATTCTCGTTGTTCCTCTTTACTGACAAGTTTAACACCTTTGGTAACTTTAACTTTCTGACTGAGGTTTTGTTTGACCTTTATTACCCTTTTTTATATTTCGTTAAAACTTCTGCACAAAGACATGGCCTTTTTTTCTCCTTATCTTTCATCTGCACTGTTTCAAACTTTTTTTTTTCTCTGATTATTAATATTCCTACACCGCTTACTTGTCTGTCTCAGAACCATCAGTTTCTGTCTATCACATATCTTCTTAAAGTGTTTCTCTTTCTGCTTTACTGTCTTTTTCTTCTCTTAAATTTTACTTACTCCTTTCCATCACTTCATCCATTCACTGCTTAACAGTCTTGCTTCTGTGACAGGTTCACACTGCACATGGATAGAGAAAGTGTGGTGTCTGTAATAAATGTATTAAGGAATCCTTGGCTTAGGATCTTTTAAGGAAAAAAAAAATTAGATTAAAAAGTCAGAATGAGTGGGTGATTCTTCCTTAGGAATTGAAGTGGACTTTTTTCTTGTTCTGAGAATTCCTTATCTTTACACCAAAATTTAATAGCTCTTATGAGCTATGAAAGACACAGATATAAAGCTAATGCTGTTCTTTGCCCTCCAATGATGTATATTACCAAAATAATAATGTGAAAAATATTTAAAGGGCTGGTCTTAGAGAGTATTTATATATATATATATATATATATATATATATACATATACATAAAAGCTAGATAGGGTAGAAAGGAAACTTCACATATGAAATGAAATTGTACCCTGAAATGAGTAGCTGTGATGGGATTGTATTTGTAAACCATATGAATAAAATTGTACATTAATAGGGTTTTGTATTTTGTATTTTAATAGAAGTGTCCTCATTTCTTGAGAATTCTGTGGCCTGAAACACGGTACATGGGCCAATGCCATCAAGACTTAAAACTGAGAGAATTGCTCAGCAAAAGTACAGTAATGCTGTTAATTTAATGTGAAGTTTTATTTCATCTTCCTTAGAATTAATACTTTCTAGCCTAGAGGCCTTCAAGAGCAGAATAAGTTGGAAATGAAATTTTAGACTTTTAGTTGATGTTCCAGAATACGTGTGTTGAAATAGTTCAGTGTCTTTGAGTGAACTCCCACTATAATGCTGTTAAATGTAAAAAGAAGCCTTTAGTTAGTAATAACTGAAATCATGACCAATTCTTTCAGCTAAGGAAATCAAGTATTTAACTAGGAATTTGTTAATATAATAAAATGTCTAAGGAAATGAAATGAGACACAACAGTTGGACTTTCATTTTGGATGTAATTAAAACAGGTGACTGAGATTTTTTATTAGAAAAATATTATTATATTTTTAAGCTTGGCAATTTTAAAGAATGACCAAAATTGCTCCTTGTCTAACTTCAAGTCAGTTAAAGGTTGAGGCTTTACACTTCAATGTTATGCAAAAAATGTCTTTAGATAAATTATGTTCAAATTCACTACATTAGATTGCCTAGTGGAACAACAGCAAAGTTTGGAGTATATGATATATTAAGAGAAAAAAACAAAACCAAAACCACCCTTATATGTGTATCTTTCATTAGAAGATTTTTATACAAATTTATAATTAGTATTCCACTGGAAAAAATACTATTTGAAACTTTCAGTTGGAAATGTTTGAATAGTTTAAAAGATAATGGTACAAATACATTCTTGGTTGGTTTATTTGTTTTTTAATGAATAGACTTATTTTCACTCCCATGATCCCTGTAGGTAATTTTGTGAATAAAATTCAGTGACTGTGACAATATTTTAAATTCCCATTTGCATTGTTTTAATTCCCACTGTTTTACAGAACTAACTGTTATTTCACTTTTAACCTGGAGGGGAAAAGCTTTCTGAATTCCAATTTAACTATAAGAACTGACACTTTCGATTGCTTGACCCAGTATAGCTTTTATGATTAGACAAGAGATTCATTTGTCTAAAGGATTTAAAGTATGGGATACTATAAAATATGGATTTGCTGAATACAGCATTGACCATAACTTCAGGCAATATGTTCCAGTGAACTTTACATAACCTCTTGATACCAACAAAGGAATTAGTTGTAAAATTTCCCAATCAGTTTTGTACTTTCATGTCCAGCCAGTGATAACACCAACAAAAGTGAAGTAGTAAGAAACTGCTTTTTAAAAATTAAACCCTGGGATCAGTCTGAGCACTCCTAGGGGAATGTGTTTCAATGCTGTAATGATTAATAGAGCCTCTTAAGTGACAGAATATTCACCAGGAAGTTTTCACTAAATGAAATATTGACTCAGCTCGTCACCAGGAGAAACCCAGCTGGAAAAACTAGTGTTGAGATCCCATAGCTCTAAGACACGATACTTCCAGCATCAATGAACGACACTTTTTTGAAGTATCGCTATTCAATATCAGCTTTGGTGATTGCTCTCTATGTGTTCAGGGACTCTCTATCTAAACCCATTTTTTTATTCCAAATGTATTTCAGACATGTTATTCTTACATTAATGGGCACTAGAGAAGCAAGATTTTTTATTTGTAAAAAACCTAATATTCTGTTCTATTGAGATACATTTTGGAATATTCTAACTCATTCATAGCAACCTTCTCTGATTTTAAACAGTGTATATTGTCTGAGCTGAGAAATAGTTCTTTACCTTCACAGTGAATAGACAGTGAGTTCTAAAATTTTGCAAACAGTATTTATTTTAATAGTAAGTGGACTTACAGCCTGCAATAAGTATTCTTTCAAAAGTTCTTAAATGTTACTTAAAAACTAACAATGAAAATACTGAGTGTCGATGTATTGATTTAAATTATTTTGCAGTTTTACAACTTTCAACTAATTTGGTCAGGTATAAGAAATAGGTGAAACAAGATTGCAGTACTAGATTATATTTCACAATAGCCTAGAAGAGAGAGCACTGATGATACTGGTTTTTTAAGTTGGTAGATAAGTTTCTCACTCATATTTTTTCTTGCATCAGTGGCTCAACTGTCTTTTTAATAGCAAGGCAATGTCATCTCTACTGTCATCTCTTTCACTGACCAAATTCAATATTTCAAAAGTAATTTTTTTTCCTGTCAGTCATACTGAATATCATATTGCTTTATGTGGTACATGGAAGTGGTAAAGGGAGTAAGACTGACAATGTTTAGTATTCTGTGCAATTTTTAAATCTAAACATTTCAATGGGTCAACAAAATCAGTGCTGTATCTTAATCCAAATCTTAGTTTGCTGTGTTGCCTACTAATGAAATGCATTACAGGTGTCTATGTACAAGTGTGTCAGATTTTCCTGTTATTGTTTAAGTAGGTAAAATGCTGGCTGTGGTGGATTGAGAATGTTTGCATTGACCTCCCTGGGGTCAGTATTTCATTAGTGGCCATTATAACAACAAAGATATTAAGAAATCTTGCTAAGTTCTGTTGTTTATGAAGAATCAAGTTTTAGTTAATATATTAACATATGAAGTAAAGACAAATATATACAAATATGTAGAGAGCTATCATCATGTTCCATCTTGTTATATGATTATACCAATAAAATGGGAGTTTCAGCATTAGGATTTTTTTGTAAAACTAATAATGACTTTTTCTTTTCTAAGGGCTTCGTTGTCTAAGGTCCTTCCTAGTTTACAGTTTCTTGATGGTGAAATCTTAAACTGTCATACTTTGCCCACAACTGAAAGAATCAAAGCATCAGAATTAAGAACTTTTCTGGAACTTTGTCAAGTTCAAATTGAAGAAAATGATCTACTGAAAAAAAGGGCTGCTGAACTGATGTATGTATTGTGAATATAAATTGCATTCAGAAATATGTTTTCATGTATTCTTAGTGTAGTTCTTGGTGTCTTTTGAATTTTACTTAAGTTTTTTGCCTGGAAATATATCATGTTAAATCAGAGATTAGAATCAGTGACTTCAGCGCAAAGAATATTTTAGATATTCAGGTATTCAAATACGTGGGCCTTGACTTTTTTTTTTTTTTTAATTTAAGTTTGAGAAAACAAGTAGTTCAAAACCTTCAGTTAGTAGTAGTTCATTGAATTCATACACACAACATAGAAGAGTGATACTGAAAATAATATAATCGTATTAATGTGATTTCCAGCTTTAGCTTAATCAAACCTAGTTTGGCTGTTGGTGCAATATACTCTACTTTTTTCCTGCATTTGTTTTCCATGTCTGTATTTTTCACATTCAAAATGACTGCAGAAGATTTAAACTCTTCTCTTTTAAAGTAGTGGATTAGATTTTTCTGTTTACAGGTCTTTGATTTTGTCATACTTACTACCTTTATCATTATTACCATGGTTAATTCTCCAGTGACTTCAGCTTAGACATTGCAAACAGTAATTTATCATTCATACCTGCTATCTTTGCTTTGCAGTATCTAAATAGCTCGAACTTCTCATGTTTTTGCACTTGGTAATATTGCATGTTTTCTTCTTTGTTCGTTCCTTTTCATTTCCTATCAGGTTCACAATATCCTTGTAGTCCTTTTAATATCCAACTTGTCTGCTGATTTTGGAAAAATAATTTCCTTGATCCTTCCAGGTACTGAACATTATCCCAGAGCAGGTGAAGCATGTGACGTCTGTCAATTTAGTCTGAACTTCTCCATGTGTACTTTGTTAGTTCAGGAAAAGTACCACTTTTTTTCAGAATCTAGATGTTTGGCGTTTACACATAAGCCCGTGTATCCATGGTGTCTTGTTACTACCTAACAGGTTATTACATTGATGTATTATTGGCTGTTACTAGGCTACAATAAAATCTTCATAGCTCACAAAACAGATTTATTTCAAAAGAGATTTCTGTTAAGAATTAGATTGAAAGTAGTTTGGGAGAAATGATACAGTGCAGTTTTTTATGACAGATGTAATGTCTAAGTGTTTCCTAGAACCCGTATATTTCTCCATTAAACCCTCAAGATATGTCTTCTCCAATTCTGTGATTTTTGGCTTCTGGTTTGCAGGTGAGAAGCTGATACTTCCTAATCTATTTACCATTTTGAAATAGTGTTCTTTCCTTTCTTTTTCTTAAAAGGAAAAAAGGAGATGCAAAAAAAAAAAAAAAAAGTACTCCTTCTCCTTTATGGTGGAGAGTTTTCTTATGTCTGAGATTTAGGGCCTGTTTTGTCAGTATCCTTTACAGAAAAAAATGCCCATATGTAATTAGGATATGACTTGCAAGAGAGGTGTAGTAGAATCTAAGAACCTAACTTTCACATACATTTCTGCAAGATGGTAAAAAATGGGAGGGAAAGATGATATTCACAAAATATAATGCTTTATTTAACCATAGTCTATGAATGGACAGCTAGACAGGTAAGAAATTTGTTGGGTAGTCAAGCTCAGACCATCTATTAACTATTAGTAGTTAATGGCTCATGCTACTTTCTGGAGGCTGACTTGTCCTTTTAACATCTTCATCAAAGACCTGGAGCAGGAAATGGGGTGCACACTTACCATGCTTGCAGATGACAATTTGGAGGAAACTGTTTACATGCCTGAGGGCAGGGCTACTATTCAGAAGCGCCTAGGCAAGCTGAGGAGGCAGACCAACAGGAGCCTTGTGAATTCAACAAGGAAAAATGCAAAGTTCTTTATCTTGAAAGGAGTGTCTTGCAACAATACAGACTGGGACTGGCTGGTTGAGAAATGTCTCTACTGAAAAGGACCTTTGGATCTTGGTAGGTAAGAAACAATGCGAACCAGCAGTGTACCCTGGTATCAAAGAAAGTTAAGAACATCCTGGGCTCTATGTACAGGAACACAGCCAGTAGGTTGAGAGGAGTTATTACTTCCCTCTCTTCATCCCTTATGAGCTCACACCTAGAATACTGTGCCCCATATTTTGGGTCACCAATATATAAAAGATATAGATAAACTGGAACAAGTTTGATGCATGGCCCCTAAGATGATCAGGGTGTTCAAGCACATGCTCAAGAAGACAGAGCCAGGCTGTTTGCAGTGGTGCATGACAGGAGAATGAGCAACAAGGACCTAGGCTGAAACAAGAGAAGTTCAGATTGGTGGGGAGGAATTGATTCCACCCAGTAACTAGCTACCCACCAACTGTTTGCTCACTACTCTCCCCACAAGCAGGATGGGAGAGAGAATAAGAAGATCAGAAGCAAGAAAAACCGATGGACTGAGATAAAGAGATAAAGACAGTTTTTCTGAAGGAAAGAGAAAAAAGAAATATTTTTTTTTAAAAAAAGAAAGCAAACCAGGTGATGCAAAGCAATAACTCGCCACCTCCCACCAGCAGTCTGATGCCCAACTGTTCTCTAAGAGTGTCTAACTTGGAAAGACTCCGCCCAAAATTTTATTTCTGAGCATGATGCTATATGGTGTAGAATATAATTTTGGTCAGTTTAGGTCAGGTGTCTTGGTTGTATCCCTTCCCAGCATCCTGTCCTACTTGCTGACTGGGACAGAGAAGATCTTGAGTCTTTCCAAGCACCATTCATCAAAGCATTAGTGTTGTATCAATACAGTTTCAGTCACAAACCTAAAACACAGCACCATATGGGCAGCTATAATGAGAATTAACTCCATCCTAGCCAAACCCAGTACAACTGGACATAAGAAAATACCTTTTCACTGTTAAGACAGTGATGAATTGCACCAGGTTGCCCAGAGAGGTTGTGAAGTCTCTGTTCTTGGAGCTTTACAAGAACTTACTGGATAAAGCTCTGAGTGATCTCGTCTGATCTTGGAGCTAACCCATCTTTGAAGTAGAAGGTTGGACTAGAGAACTCCTGAGATTCCTTCAGTTAAGAATTTTTCTGTGATTCTGTGTTTGAGAAAAGCAATAGTGGGAAGAAGGAATTATGTAAACATCTTTCCTGAATGTGTGGTTTAGATGGGGACGGGGAGAGTTGTGGACTTTTCTAAGGTTTTGAGAATTAATTCACAATCTTTTAATCTTGTATCAAATTTAGTCTTAAAATTATTTTCTTCTGTATTAAAGCCCCCTATGTTTTATTTTGTCTAAAAGTACAATTTATGGATGACTTGAAAACCGTTGAAAACTGTAGTTCATAAAAGGAGCTCTAAACTTGTTTGTATATAAGCCTTAACAGCATAGCTATTATATGTACATACTGTAATACTTTGACTGAATTAATGTGACATTGCTAAAGAACAGGCCAACAATAGAGCAAAATTCTGTCTGTTTCACATCTTGCTAAGTTATGAGCCCCTGTAGGTGCGACCTCAAGTATGTAAGCTGCCAAAAGTAATCACTGCTTACTTCCCTAATCCATGTTTCATACACCACTGCTGCCCAATTAAATTGTCTGTGCTGTTTCTGCCTGCAATTTCACTGTTCTTGCCATACTTAAGAATGAAACGTATTTTAAAATTAAATTTCTCTGTTCTAATAAATTCTTTCTGTCACATAATCTTTACATTTCTTGTAGTCAGTAATCGTATAAAAAATACTATGACAGCTTGGCTGCAGTAATTTTCTTTCAGTCATCAGATATGCAGATGTCTGGCTAGTGGAACCTGGACTTTATAAATACTGTATAGGTAATACAGTGAAAATGACAGGAATTTCATAAATGATATTGCAGGAGAGACTATGTCAACGGTGACATCTTTCATGTGTTTGTAAGGGACTTCTGTAACCTGCAGCTGAACATCAGTAATGATGCTTATGGAAGTCTCCCTGAAGACAAATTAGTTTTTAGCACACTTTACAAACAAAAGCTCGGTTAAGACTGGAGTGTACTATTTGAATATTCCATGTATCAGAATTATAAAATTCACAGTAGAGCTGGCAAAAGGAAAAACATGACATTAAGGAAAATTTTAACTAGCACACAGAGGGATGGAATATTATTTATGATTTAGCTGCAAGGGCCAGGAGAAAACTGCCATTGCTGATTAGAACCAATCTGTTTGTCCACTGACCATTTTGCCTCTGAGAGGTTTGTTCTGCTGACTTTTCTATTTTTACTGTCTCATTCTGACAAAAAGATGCTCTTTGACTAATGTGGCAGTCATTGTAGATGCAATTGCAGTAGGGAATTCTGTACAAAATATGTCAGCTTTGTAAAGAAGCTTCCACTGCCACTTTAAACTTTCCGAGTAGCAACATTTTGGCTGATTTAAACTCCACTAAAAGGACTTTAAGGATGAATAGCTTATCCTTTTCCATATCTGTTAAGTCAGCCTGTGCATGGGTCCTTACACTTCCCAGGTGGTTTCAGTGGGGATTTGCTCCTCGCCACCTCTACTCTTTCCTCTCCAAACATTGCATATGAAACTGAGCAGGGTTTGGTCTAATTTTACCAAGAAGACAGTGATGGGTACTCTTGGTGGACTGATTTTAGGACTGAAGTTGTAGCAGTCATTAAATGCCTGACTTGAATTTCCAAATAGATTTAAATCTGATTGTAATGCTTTCATCTTTCCTCGAAGTCCCTCAAAAATCCTAGCATAAGTTAAGAGGTATCTTTTTGGTTAAGAAAACTACAGGTAGCTTTCTGCTCTTAGCATATGTTTGTGAAACATTTTTATATTGCTATGAAAGATCCATTTCTTTTCTGGCTTATCCCTTTCTCCCACTGCAAAAGCAGTACATCGTTTGTGGCTATGCTAAAATTTACATATGGCATAAATTACTTTCACTTGTTAAGATCAAAATAAAGCTGTGGGTCACGATTAAACATGAGGGAATGTGCTGGTCAAAGCTGGAAACCATAAAAATTTTTCTGTAGCAAGACTGCCATATTAATCTACATTTCATTACATATTAAGCAGCCAGGCAGCATGGGTACTGGTGCTTCCATCAGGATGATCCCATTTCTTGTTTTGTCTAGATGTCAGTTTATGCTTAAAACCTTGGTTGTGTCTGAACCAAGAAGCAATTCAGAAGAGTTAGTGTGTCCAGACCCCTTGACCTATAATGCCAAAAAAATCTGAATGGCAAACAACCAATTTACATTAACTGAAAAGGAAATATTGTGGTATCAGAAGTCTTAATACTGTCATATTTCTTACTTTGTCTTCTCTCTTTCCTCATATGTGTTTTTTTCCATTAAACAAGTAAATCAGTCCTGCATATTTTCCATTATAGCAGCTTCCTTTCTGTGGTTTGAATAAGCTGTCTTCAGAAGCACAGTCCTTCTGAGACACTGCGAAAGCTGAAGTGCATTGATATGATAGCTATACCCCAAGCTTATTGAATAATTCTTTTTTTCTCCAGAGATGTCTGAAATCTCTGTTCAATTAAGGGAACCACCAAGCTGATTGCCATCTAACATTCTAGCCCCATCTTAATATTTTTTCACCTTTGCAGGAGAAACCCCAATACAGTTTCCAAGCCACTTCTTTGCTCATAATTCTCTGAGGTGTTACTACAACTTCCTTTGTCATTTCTGGAAACTTGGACTGATCTGACTGCCTAAAAGGAAAGACACTTTTACACAGAGGGCAGCCTAAAAATCATACAAGATCAGAGTGGATTGCCAGGGAATGTGTCAGCTGGGAGATAGGATGAATGCCCACAGTGACAAGAGTGTATTTTGCAACCGCTGCTTGGAAAATCTGCCCAAAAGCAGCTTCTATGAAAAAAGTAATACATGGTCCCGGGTGAACACACAGTTACTCCCTGCCTGAATTTTTAATTGCCTTCAACCTCCCTTCCCATTTCTGCTTGCCACATTCATAGCCGCTGGAAGGGTGAAACAGCTGCTCAAGATGCCCCTGCAGCTGTCAAAGAAGTGGATGCACAAGTATCCTACTCTGGTCACTGTGACAGTGTTTCATTTTTGGGTTTTGAGAATGAACAAGTATACTTAGGATATACTTCTCATACAGAAGATTATTATGTCTAATATAGAAAACATTCTGGGTTTCTCTGAAATATCTTAATCCTCAAGCAAACAAAAACCCAAACAAAACTAAAACAAAAGAAAACAAAAGAAAACAAAAGGTGGGAATTGATTGTGGGGCTTTTTAAAATATTTTTTTTGTCTTCCTGCCAAAGTATGTTTTGTAGAACTTTGGTAATGATCTTGTACCAAATTTATCTTCTTAATACTTTAACTAATTTAAAGTATTTAACTGAGGTATTTAATTAATGCTTTAAGTATTTCATGTTGAAGAAATGAGTATTCTTACTGTGTAGTAGGAGACAGCTAGAATTTGTTAGATCCTTAAGCAAATATATACATTGATTTAAATATTTTTAGAAAATGTCATATTCGTCGAATTAACAGGAGTAGGAGTAATGTTGTGTAATGGTCAATCAAATGTCCAGCTAATGTACAGTGAGTCATGTAATTAGCCTGCATGGATTTGGCTTCCAAGTTAGCCATTCATATTTTGTCCAATAGCACTGAAGTTGCACTAACAGAGGAGAAGTTGGAATCTTTTTTACTCTTGTAAGATCTGATTCTGTGTGTTCTTAAAAATCTAAAAAGTTCTTAGATGAACTTCACTAGAGGAAATAGTTATATAGGTAAACAGTCTTTTCACAATAAAACCTTATCAAATCTTCACCTTTCAGGAATGATGAAGGAAAATTCTGTTATTCAAACTGTAATCTTAGGACCCGATTTTTTGCAGACTTCCAAGAGAATTGTTCTTATTGCTACTTTTTCTCTTGGATTGCTGGCCTAGCATTGACTTTGTGTTCCTCTGAAAATAGCATCAGATTACAGATCTCTGCATCTATCTGTGCTATGGAAGGAAAATGTTTTAGTGATTCCAAAAGTACCTGCTACCTAATATGATGAGCAAACACTGTCCAAATAGACAGCCTTCTGAATCTGTAACAGTTCATTCATATTTGCTCTTACTCATCCTCATCATTTAGATGGTGTAACACAAAGAACTAATGAAAGCCAGGCTTTGTAGATTAATGTTGCTTCAGTCTAGCACCTTTCCTTATACTGATACAAATATCTGTACTTAAAAGTTTCTAAGTTTGGGGTTTGTTGCTGTAGTTCTAATCTGAATTTTAAAACTACTGTTATTTTTATATTAGCTTTCATAGTTTCCAGATAAAATTGATTAAGGCTGTTACCAGATTTATAACAAAATTATCTCAAATCCTCTAAAATTTTCATCTTCATATGACTCTTAACTGCACAGAAAATTAACAGTGAAGTGCATGCTCTACTGCCTATTTCAAAGAGACTGAAACACTAAAAAACAAAAAAGTCAGAGTAAAATAAGCAATCTATTATATGTAAGTATATTTTAAATACTGCCAAAAAAAAGAAAAATGAAATTAAGATTTATAAATACTGAAACTGGCTTTCAGTCAGAGTAATTACTATTCACCATAGGAATATAGAAACATGTAAGGATACTTGAAAATACAAGGTAGTTTAGGAAATAGTAGAGGGAATATATATTTTTAAAGAGCATTCTTACAGTCTGAAAAGTAAAAACATTTTGTCTTTTTTTCAGAATTGCCTCTTCTATTGATTCTGCAAAAGGACAATGCTGGTATTTTAATCAGTTGATGAAACTTAGTATTAAACACCGATATGCACATGAGTATGGTGAATTAAACATTACCGACAGAGATGGACCAGAAGCACTGAAAAGTCATTTAAAGCAAACATCCACTGGCTGCCTACAGGAAAATAACCTCTTTATCATGGGTGCGACAGAAAATAAACAGGACTTGTTGGATCCTTCCAAAAGATGGATTACTACTGGCCATATTCAGGCCACATTCATTAACTCCTCCATACCTGTGCACCAAAAGGAAAATAAAGAGTATCAGAGAGAGAAGCAGAAGAACATTGAATCTTGTATTAATTACAGTGGGGAGAACAAAGGCAACAATAACATATCAGCCCAACTCACACTGCAACAATCAGTGATAGCAGCAAGTAATATGAGAAGAGATCTTCAGCACACTGAGAATGATACAGAAAGGTAAGACAGATGTCAGATAGACTATATGGATAGGCAATAGGAGTGGGGATTTCTTGTTCAAAACAGCAGCACAGAACTTGTAGTAAGATAACAATATTTTTAAGCTTATTAGACAATGAAGAGTTATCTAAGGTGATGCATGCTAGACTTTCATAATAACAGCAATCCTTTGTGGTATTCTGTCAGCTGATATTTTAGAATATAGTTATGTATGTACCTAAAATATTTTTTAAATTCTATATAGCGAGAGAATTTCAAAACTTTTCCTTGGTCTCTTACCTTTTCCTTCTTTTTTTTTTTTTTTTCAATATATTTATGACACAAATTCAATGACACATACAAAGTTAGGTATGAAAATGCTGGATGGTTTGCAGGAATTTTGGGGTAGTTTAAACTACAAACTATTGTAAGGCTTTTATGCTATACTATTCATCAGTCATTCAAGATTCATCTGTGTAGAATTTACATTCAGTATCATTTAGAAGGCAACAGGGAAAAGTTGCTTAAATCTACCATCTTACTCCCTTGACCTTAGGCCAGTCTCCTGCTGTTGTGATGACTGAAAAGCTAACAGCCTGCCCTGCCCTTGGTACTCCTCCAGCATGCCTCAACCTGCTTCTTAAAAGTAGAAGCAGGGGTGAGGGGCCAGTTCATGTTCTGTGCCCCCAGATATGATCCGACATGAAACAGACTGGTTTATTAACTCTTTGTAATGCATTTGCTGCTGATTTGTATGGTTCTGGATGTACAGTCAGGGAAAAGAGAAAGTGAAATTTTTATCCTAAAGATACAAAAATTCAGTTGTGATTTCATAAGAATTCAGTTTCAAAAATAGATCTCTTGAGAACACTATGAAGTGCAAGCATGGAAGGTGTGCTTCTTCATGCTGTTTAGACTTAGGTAAATGAGCAGTAGTGCTTAACAGGTACTTAAAACACTAATAATTTGTCATAAAATTTATCATTCAGGAAGACCACAGAATTGATCATTACCTCTCAGGAAGTGGAAAGTAAGAGTACAGTAGTCTATTATGGAAGATGAAAGCTTCAGAAAAATATTTCTGAAATAGTTCATTTAGAATTTTTAGTTAATATTTTAAATGTATTCTGTAAGTTGGTTGTATAAGTTCTCTTCAATGCAGAATACAAACCATTAGAGGGTTTTTTGGTGTTTTGTGGTTTTGGGGTTTTTTTGTGTGTGTTTGTTTGTTTTTTTTTAACTCAGCTACTGCCTTTTATACATTCAAAGCTTATAAATAATAAATATATTAAACATATAATTTATATAATTTAATATTAATTATAATTTAATATAATTTATAGTTTATATGATTTATATAATTATATAAAATATAATTCTGGCTTAACCTCCAAAGTGCTTTTTTTCTGAAAAGTACCCCTCTATTTTAATAGATGCACTGCACAAAGAAAGAAAATATGTAAAGATTGGGGGAAATTTAGATGTCTTTTCTTAAACCTACTACGAACAGAAATGATAATTTTGTGGAGAAAAGGATTCCAAGATTGTAAAGTCATAATGCAGACCCGTCATTAAACTTCACAGAATCACAGAATCATCTAGGTAGGAAGAGACCTTGAAGATCATCTAGTCCAACCATTAACCTAACACTGACAGTTCCCAACTACAGCAGATTCCTTAGCACTATGTCAACATGACTCTTAAACACCTCCAGGGATGGGGACTCCACCACTGCCCTGGACAGCCCATTCCAATGCCTAAGAACCCGTTCTGGAAAGAAATGCTTCCTAATATCCAGTCTAAACCTTCTCTGGTGCAACCTGAGGCCATTACCTCTTGTCCTATCACTTGTTACTAGGATAAAGAGACTCATCCCCAGCTCTCTGCAATCTCCTTTCAGGTAGCTGTAGAGGGCGATGAGGTCTTCCCTCAGCCTCCTCTTCTCCAGACTAAACACCCCCAGTTCCCTCAGCCGCTCCCCGTACGACCTGTGCTCCAGACCCTGCACCAGCTTTGTTGCCCTTCTTTGCACATGCTCGAGTCATTCAATGTCCTTTTTGTAGTGAGGGGCCCAAAACTGAACACAGGAATCAAGGGGCGGCCTCACCATCACCGAGTACAGGGGTAAGATCCCTTCCCTGTCCCTGCTGGCCACGCTATTGCTGACACAAGCCAGGATGCCATTGGCCTTCTTGTCCCCCTGGGCACACTGCTGGCTCCTGTTCAGCCGGCTGTCAATCAACCTCCCCAGGTCCCTCTCTGACTGGCAGCTCTCCAGCCACTCCTCCCCAAGCCTGTAGCGCTGCTGGGGGTTGTTGTGGCCCAAGGGCAGCCCCCGGCATTTGGCCTTATGGAAACTCCTCCAGTTGGGCTCAGCCCATGGCTCCAGCCTGTCCAGGTCTCTCTGCAGAGCCTCCCTACCCTCGAGCAGATCAATACTCCCACCCAACTTGGGGTCATCTGCAAACTGACTGAGGGTGCACTCTATCCCCTTGTCTAGATCATCAATAAAGATGTTAAACAGGAGTGGCCCCAAAACTGAACCCTGGGGGACACCACTCATGACCAGCCACCAACCGGATTTAACTCCGTTCACCACAACTCTTTGGGCCCGGTCGTCCAGCCATTTTTTTACCCAGCAAAGAGTGTGCCCATCCAAGCCGTGAGCATCCAGTTTCACCAGGAGAATGCTGTGGGAAATGTTGTCAAAGGCCTTGTTAAAGTCAAGGTAGACAACATCCACAGCCTTTCCCTCATCTAATAAGCAGGTCGCCCTGTCATAGAAGGAGATCAGGTTTGTCAAGCAGGACCTGCCTTTCATAAGCCCATGCTGACTGGGCCTGAGCATCTGGTTGTCCCGCATGTGTTGTGTGATGGTACTCAGGATGAGCTGCTCCATCAGCTTCCCGGGCAACTTTTTTTCTATCAGTATAAATTAATTGAACATGTATTTAGAAAGCTCAATCACTGAATAAATCTAAACAGTCTTTAATCAGTGCTTGTTAAACAATATGCAAATTAGAAAACTTACACATATAACCAGTGGTCAGTAGTGTTAATTTGAAGGGTAAAAGTAAGCAAAAGGTGAAATTGCACTTTCTCAGTTTTTCCTGCCTGCTCCATTGGAGATATTTTTCTCATGCATTTTTCATCATTCTCCAGTGTTTTGGTTTTTTTTTTATACAGACAGTGCAGATAAGTGGACCCCTCCCATAGTTTATTCAGTCACTGTTAAACCACTTCTGCTCCTAATCCTTCCTTTGTGAAGACCCTTTCACTCCAGTGAATATACAGGGAACAGAGCCCAGCAGAGGTCAGTCCTCTTAGATAACTGAGTTTCCAAAGTTATGTGATATGAAAATCCTCCAGTGTTTCTGAACATATCTGTCACATCTGGATTGTAATTTCTTAACAGTTTAATGGCAGAACCTTCCGATGCATCGTGCTATGTTTTATGATTATAGTTTGGCAGCTCTGATAATCCATTTGTACTGGTGAGGGTATGGCATTCATAAAGGTACTTATTTCTCTGTGAGGCTGCATATGACAACATCAGTGATCCAGTCCCTTTGGCGGCAGTGCAATGCCAGCAGTAAAACTGGCTGCACCAAAACAGAGAATCATCAGTTTATAGAAGCTTTGAGACAGAAGCATGAAGCTGCCACACTAATCCAGGTTGGTTTATGGTATTCTCCTTACTTATTTTACAAATTAATAAGAAAAAAATGTTACTAGTTTTGTGTATTTGTCATCTTCTCTCTATTTTTGCTTATGATTTTGTTAATAGTTTCATAATTAAACATTTTTATTTAATCAGCATAACCTTGATGTTACTAGAAGAGAGCCTTATTTACAAAAAGTTTTAGAGAAGCATAAAAATATTTTCCTTTTTTTCACCAAGAATTTCCCTGAATTAGTTTTGCTTGATTTAATTATACTGTTATGTTTAAGACATATTATGCCCATGTTCTTACTGAGATATGTCTATGTTATTAAACTGACAGACAGTGCATAACTGGTACATCATTTCTGATATCTATACAACTAACTACTCTTCCCATTTCTTCTATCCTACCCGTCTCTTTCTTTCTCCCCCCATCTCATCAAAACAGGGTTGCCTCATCCATACTGCCATTGGGAACAGACCATGGCCTAGGATGTCCTGTGGTAGATACTGAGCTAACAGTTTAACAGAATGGATTATGTGCAAGTGTTTAAGTTCATGCCTTGGCTCTGTTTAGTTTGGTAATCAGATATAGTATTTACCTGCCAGGTTACCAGGGTTCATGGGTTTTTCTACATTTTTAAGCAAATGAACCCTGTACTGATTTTAGATTTCAAGTTAACTTTAAAACATTAAATACTGTAAGTCTTCTATAAAAATGTCAACAGTGACAAAGTGATTTAGGAGCCTAAGTTCCATTGTCAGACTGAAAAAACAAGTAATTCGATAGTTTCTATTCAACAAATGGGCAGTAGCAAAATGTTTAGTAAATGTACATACTAAAAAAAGGACAAGTACAGAATCGTATTACAGCAGTAACTTACCTGGAAAGTTGAGCTAAAATTTGTTTCTGGAATATAGTGTGTAGCTAGTATATTAACAGTTGATCTCTGTAAACTTATTTAATACATTTTTGACCTTATATATTTGACCTCTACTATATAATAAAGTGATGAGTTTCACAAATTAAAATGTATTTAATTTGTTTCAGACCTGATAATTTTCAAAGTTAGTACAAGAACCAGAGTCTTTCCCTATTTATCTCTGGTGCATTTTGTGGAGTTTTAGATCTCTCTTATATCCATCCTTTATATTCAGTCTTTTGTAAATAAAAGTTTAGTCTATTTAGTCTCTTTTCATATTACCCTGTACTACTTTTACTGGTTTTGTCCCTCTCTGAACCTTTACCTCATTCTATTATAACATTTTATAAAGAAGTGACTAGAACTGAATTCCATAGGCAGACAGGTTTGTACAGTAAGACAGTTTTCATCTTATTTCTTAAGTACTACTAACATATCATTTTTCTTTTTGATCATGACTGAACACTGACCTGGTGCTTTCATAGATCTATGTTAACAACTGCCTTACAGTTTATCCTTCTTAATATACCATTACAATTGCTTTTCTCCTTTGCATTTGTAAAAACTAGTTGTATTTGTTAAATTAAATATATTTGTCATTTGGTCACTCAGTAATATCAGGATGTTTTATGTGGATGGTTATCAAGATCTTTAGGGAAAATAACAACAATGAAATTATAAGAAAGTGGTTCTAATAAATTTATCATTTTTATAATAATCAGGAAGTATGTGTGTAAAACCAGTAACCTTTTTCAATAATTTATGCAGTTAAACAATAATTTCCTAAAAATTAAAAAGCTAAATGTTAAGACAGAATATGAGATTTACTCTTCCTGTTTTAGTATCTTCATTGCAAAGCTATTAAATGTGGACATCAATACATCTTTCGGGACAGGGGAAATTTTTTTGCCTGGTGTTTAAATGCTTAGGGCATCTTGAATATAATGATGTCAAAAACTTATTAGGGGAAAAAAATGCTGTCCTGAACTTAGTTTTCTTCATTTCATCTATGTAATTTTGAAATGTTTTTCTGGATCTGATTCTATGGCTTGGCATGTGTTCCTAACACCCTTCCTCTTTTTTTAGCACTTGATTCCTAATGTGCTCCTTTTTCTTGGATATGATTATGGCTACTGGTAATATTTTTTAAAAAAATAAAGATCTTAGACAGTTAAGAAAGAGTAACTGACCTAGGTCGATTGCATGAGATGTCTCCAAGAATTGCTACTTGTAAACTATTAGACATTTAGTACAAGTGTATTTTTATTCTCAGTAATTTGAAAGTTGACACTCAACTTTGTCTTATATAGCCTTTACTTTCAGTTTATAATAGTCCCTCAAGGAATTGTCAAATAATTAATTAGTTGACCCAGGTTTGTAGTTGAGGGAGTTGCAGGATTCCTTTCTGCTTACTTGTGGAGAGCCTCTTGAGTACTCTAAGCTTTAGACATATGCTGGCATTTAATTTGTCTTGTAGTTTTAAATGTCACATAAAGTTCAAAAAACAGATCATTGAGCTATTAAACCAAGGCCCAAGATGTTTTATCTTCCTAATGGGATAACATAGAGAATCTGGATTTGGGTTTGATCTATGGCTTTGTATAACATGCTTTAAATTTTTTGTTTAGGCATTTTGGAAGGGTTTTCTTTTGCGAAAGAAACTGGCGAGTGCTATTGCAGCTGTTAAAAATGATGAAGTGGAGGATGACTATGAAGTAATAAATGTGGATGATTTCACGTTTTCCGAAGTAAGCACAGTGATTAGCATAAAAACTTAATGTAAAAAATAATATTATTCTTATTAAGCAATTGTGAGGGATTTGGAAATAAAAGAAATTTAAAAGACTACCAGGAATAGAATTATCATGTTGGATGTCCAGAAATAAAGAAGCATTTGATATATACAGCTCATTTAAGTGTATTTGTCATGGATTAATTGCTTCCTGCTCTTTGAGATGCTCTGGTAGTTATTGTGCTATTAATGTCACACCCACCAAAGAACCCCATATATTTCTACAGTTAAAGGACAATTGAAAGAGTATAAGGAAACAGCTACTTTTGTTCTAAAATGTTTAGCTTTTCAGTATTTTACTAACAGATTATAATGTCAACAGTATTTGAGTGTCTATGTTGTTCATTTTCATGATAGAATGGTAACAATAATATAGCCGAAAAATATAGAAAATATAACTGAGAGTCAGTGTTGCAGAATTCCAATAAAAAGAATGCACCCCCAAAACCAGAGGTGAAATAGTCTTATTAGCTCTTCTTTTGTCTTATAGGTAAAGTGCTAAACGGATCACTAGTCTGAATACAGTAGTAAATTATGAAGAGAAGTATAGTTAAATCAGAAAAAAAACCATATTTAGATGATCTGTGATACACAAAATACAGTAGTTATTGCTAGTAATTTTTACAAGTTAAATAGAGTTAATAATGTTCTTTCAGTTTCAGATGATTGAAATTGTCTCAGAAGTTTCCAGTCTAAATAAAAGCAGGAACCAAAGGAATTTGAAGAATAACATTACATTCAAAATGTGAATTTAACAATAATTAAGTAAAAAATAAAAATATCTATGGGATCAACCTTGTCATTCAGTTAGCAAGGAAAAGGATCTTTAAACCAATTTTATGTTTTATAGCTTCAAAAGACACATTCTATGTGGGAAGTTCTAGACTCAGTATGCACAGTAAGGCAGCTGTTGATGACTTACCTATATATTTGTCTGGAGCACTGCTTTCTCTCATTATTCACATTGGTTAGATTTTTTTATTTTTTTTTTTAGTGGTTTCAGGTAAAGCAAAAAAAAAACCTGATAGCAATGTGGCCATTTGAGACCTAAGAGGATATGACTAACGGTTTTCATGAACCCTTGTCTCTGAATGTGCTTATTCAGCTGCTTCATCTTTGGAAGAGCCATTTGTCAATATTCCATTCTAATTTTGCAAAGGAGATTGAAGCAATAGCCCTTCTACTGACAGGATTAAATCCTATTTATTATCACATGTTTGTAGGGCTCATAGAGAGTTATGAAACCAAATATGTTGTTAGTTGGAGCAGTGCAGTTTACACTTGATCAGTCTTTGGTCATCTAAGTATCAGCCTTCTTTTGCCACCCTGTTCCGCTTAGAAAGTAGTTGAACTTTGTATGAAATTATTACCAATCACTTGATGACTTAGAGTAATTTTTTTTTCTTCTCCCTTTCAGCAGCTATTTTAAGATACATTTTCATAATTACTGTCTTGTTTTATGAGCATGCAAAATGTTTGAGGCAAGAGTCCCAGGAATCATTTGGTAGACAGGAAATGTGTGTGTGTAAACATAGAGATCTGGCTTAAATTTTAGGATTTTTTTTCATTTTAATTTGAAATATATATACAAAAAAGAACAGTCTCATTAGTTGGTGTTCTCTGATCCCTGGCTTCTTTCTAAAATAATAAAAAGCAGAAAGTTGAAGGATTTACTTCTTCACACAGGAAGGAAGTATCTGTTCGTATATTAAAGAAGGAAAATATCCTGTTTTGAATTATTCAGCCGGTAGGGCAGAGTCTTAAATACTGTAATTCAATTGAACTGTTCTTGTTTCACTCTGTTTGGCCCAAATAATCCTGTGGGTTGGGTTTTTTTTTTTAATTGGTAAACTGAAAACTACATGGGCAGTTTTGTTCCATCTGTCTGTCAGCAATGCAATCACATTTGGGCAGTTGCTCCTGAGGCCAAGGAGAAAAGGAAGGAGTGAGGAAGGCAGGAAAAAAAAAGGCTAGCTCATTTCAGAAAGGCTTGAACAGCATCACCTTCTGGTGTTGCTACACATTTCTTCCTTTTTTTAATTTTCAAATTGTTATTGAGTTTATTAGGAAAGAAATAAAACACGGGTTTAGGGAGGAATCTCAGAGAAAGTGTTTAGGTTCAGATCATGACAGGAGAACCATGAGATGACATTTTAATTTGCATGACAGGCTCAAATGCTGAACTGGGAACTGATATCAAATAAGTTACTCAGGCCCTTAGCTTCTTGTGATGAAAAATATAAGAACATCTGTTTTCTACAGAGTAGCGTATGTGATAAATTTGCAATGTATATGGCCATGAAGGATATACTTTTTTTCAGTGAGTGAGCATCTCAGTGTTCAAGATTAATGGCTGTAACTAGATTTATACCATTCAATATTTGTCATACTTTTTCCTTCTTTTTTTTTTTCTTTTTTTCAAGCATGTTTTTTTTTTCTGTACTGCAGTTTTACTGTGAGAAATATATGCCTTAACTATAATGGGCCTACACTCTGCCCTGCCTAGCCCAGACTAGCCATCCTCAGTCCTAGGTTGCCTGGTTCCATGTGTCTTTAGCAGTTTCATTCTCTGCAGTCAGATGATACCAAATCACATGACTTTATACTTCTGCAGAGGCAAGCAGCAAAAGCTTGGAATAGTGTATACTCCTTTCTGGCCTCAGTGTTTTATAGCAAAGTGCTGAAGCAGAGCCAAATGATGACACATATCAGTGGCTATCTGTTTGGCCTTAAACAAGTGTGTAGAGAGGAGTACATATTGCTGGTCTAAGAGATCCCATATGCTAGAGTTTGGAGGAAGAAAAAAATATCTGGACACCATTTTGTACTGCAGATTTCACTGTTGGTTAGGGTGAGTGAAATGAGAGAGAAGGGCAGAAGAACCTTTCCTTGTTGCAAACCAATACAAATGTACTAAGTCTTGTCCAAAAGTTTTTGGAATAGTCCACTATATTGTGGTATAGTCACTGGGGTTTTTTTATACCACTGTTATGTAGATTTCAATCATAATGTTTTCATTCAGTATTATCTGGCATCCTACAAAATCACTAGTGGGCAAGCACCCATTTAAACGATTTGCTGGTGTCAATGCAATAAGTCATTAAGCACCGATCTTCATTAAATTACTGTTTAATATCTTCATTATAAACTCAGTGTACCCAGTGCTCTGTGGAAGGTGAGGCTGCAAAACAGCATGGGAAAATCTCTAGTCTTTGCCAAAGATCTTCTGCTTACTTCATTTATGCACATTGAGCAGTGGTATATTTTTAGTACAAGTTTGGCACCGCATCACGTGAAAATTGGATTGCGTGTGATTGAGCTGGTGGAAGGGTCTTTATCTTGCTCACAACAGCATGAATAGTAATCATATCACCTGAACAGTTACTGATATCTTCTTGTATTCATATCAGCTCCTGTACTTTGCCAAAGATTTCCAGAGACAATTGACAGCAGTAGTGTTTTGTGTCAGTTGTATTGTGCAATGTTAAACAGGCTATCCCAGATGAGATGAAAGATCTGGCCAACACATGTCTCAGAAAGTATGAGCCTGGTATTTAGTGATGTTTTCATGTCTTTCATGTGGACTTTGGAGAATTCCAGCCTATATGCTCCAGAAGGCTGATCTTAAGATAATCTTTCATCAGCAGTCCATCCATGTAGCAAATGATCTACAAGGCAGAGCTCATTTTACCTCTGGTGGACAAAATCTGACAACATTTGCTTGACACAACTCTTACTTTCTATACCATGTAACCAGCAGCATTGTTGTTTTCCTGATGGGAATATGATGTGAGCCAAATGCAAAATGGCTGAACTTGCCAGTGTGTCAGAAACCAATTGAATATGATCAGTTTTAAGACAATCCTTTACTTAGAACAGTGGACATTGAATAAAAGATTATTTTCCTACACTGAATCAGAATATGGACATATGCTTAATTCTCATCAAAATAACTACCAGTGTTGTTGGTTACATGACACAGAAAGCAGGTATTGTGTTTTTCAAAACTTCATTTTTTGAATTTAGTTTAAGTCAGGGCTATCTAGTCCTACTTTTTGAACAAGAAAGTAACCTTGTAAATTGCAACCAAGCTAAAAAGAAATCCATCACTGCTTCCTTCATCAAAGGGAATAAATTTGTTGCCCTGAGACAAAGTGTTGTTGTTGTGGTTTAAACCTGGCCAGCAGCCAAACACCACACAGCCACTGGCTCACCCTCCTCCACCCAGGGGATGTGGGGGAAAATTGGAGGGGTAGAGGAAAGACTTCTAGGTTGAGATAAAAGTAGTTTAATAATTGAAATAGAATAAAACAATAATGGAAAGTACAAACCGGTAATGCACAATGCGATTCCTCACTGCACACTGACTGATACCCAGCCCGTGCTGGGCTAGCAATCTTGAAATACCACGATTCCACAATCGCAATCCTGGAAGTGAGAAAGGACACCCTCCTTCCCAGCTGACCTTCCCTTATATACTGAGTGAGACATTACATGATATGGAATATTTCATCGGTCAATTTGGGACCAGTGCTCTGTCTCTGCTCCCTCCCAGCTTCTTGTACACCTGCACATGGGCTGACATGGGTAGTTGGAAAGTCCTTGATCTCTTAGCAACAACTGAAAACATCAGTGTATTATCAACATTCTTCTCATACCAAATCCCTTACTGAATCCAAAACACAACACTATTCTAGCTACTAAGAAGAAAAATTAACTCTATCCCAGCCAAAACCAGGACAGTTGTTCTGCTTCTGAGCTTGATTGTGTAGAACTTTAAAATCCCAGTCTTTTTGGTATCATTTGAAATTACTGACAAGGAGTTTCCTTCATATTTTTTACATATCCACACTCAAACACATAGCCATTCCTATTTTTTTCTTTCCCTTCTGTGGCAACTAGGCAGCAGTTTTGTTTTTCTTGTTTTGTTTTGTTTTCGGGAGGGAGAGGAGAAGT